TTTAAAATCCATGGTTTGCAGGGGATGACTTTTGAACATGACCTTGGAAATGATCAACATTTTATAATATATATTTCTATGTATATCCAATATTATTATAAATTGAAAAGGCCAAAAAAAATATAAAAATTAAGGAGAAAGAAAGAGAGAACACTTGTTATATTGGGTCATTTGATTGCTCATATGATTGTGACAAATGGGGATTTCCCTCATTCAAATTTATTTTAGAATTATTTTAGAACCCATAGCCCAAGCTATATATATTTTAAGAGTAAGCCTTAGAGCAATGGTAAGATTGTTTCTTTGTGATAGGAAGGTCATGGATTCAAGTTCTGAAAATAATATTTTTTTACAAAAGATACAAAGAAAAAATTGCATATTATGAATCTTCCTCCAATCCTTATAAAGTAAGGAATCTTGTACATCGAGATTTGCCCTTTTTAGCCCAAGCTAATATTGTTAATTTACAACGTAATTAAGTATTTTTTAAACAAAAGGTTTTATAACTAGCTGTCATAGAAAGCAAAATTTGAAGTTTTTTTTTAATATATATGTATATATATATAGGAGAAAAAAGTGGTTGTTGAAGTGATGTTTTTGAAGTTAAGTAAACCCAATGCATTCAATAAATAAATGAAAAAAAAATGAATTTATACTGAGGCAGAGGCCATTATCAAAAGAGATCTTTAGGCTGTAATCTTTTAGTTGAGATTAACCCCTAATAAAGCAAAGATAAACTCAATGTCTAGATCATTTTATGATAATAATGTTCTAAAGTTATATGCAACATGCATGCATGATGATACCTAATTATATATTTGCTCATGTAGGAATAGTATTATGAAAAAAAAAATTCCCTTTCATCTGTCATTTGTGATATATCTCACACTATGGAAAATGAATCAATAATGATAAAAAGTTACTTATTCCTTTCTCTTGTTTGTCAAATTATTTGGGGAACAATAAGAAAACTCTTGCTATAGTTAGTAAACAATTCTCCTTAATTTAATTAATCAATGAGCTGTTAATTTAATTGTTTCAGAATCGGTCTTAAAATTAAAAATTTCGAGTTCGAATCACAATCTAACCCTAAAAAAAAAAAATCCAATTAAAATCTCTTAATTTCCCTTCTATATATAACTATATAATGGGAAATTGAATAGGAAAAGAGACATTAAATGCTAGGCAAATTATACTTGATGCAAGTAAATTTTTATAAAAACTATAGCTATTGCTGCATAGTAATATGGCAAGCATTGAATATGTAAAAAAAAAAAAAAAAAGCAAAACAAATTGATGATGTTGGAACTAATTAATTAATGTATATTGTAATTTATTATGCTAAGTTTTTTAGTGAAGGAAAAAAAAAAGGCAAAAGGCAAAAGTTAATTGCAATCCTGTCCTACATATATAAGCTTATCCAAATTTAGGGATATGGAATAATAGCAAATGATTGTTAATGAAGAAGTCTTTGTGTAAACTTTTCTCTTAAAAAGACACAGATTTCTTCAGTTTGGAGAACAAATATGAGTACAATAATCAATAATTAAAAATATAAAGTGGACAAATTAGAGGCATAAAACAGTAATTTGGCATTAAATACAGATAAATATTTTACATCTATAACTTTTGCACATTGCAGTTAGGTTTTGTCTGTTGCATATAAAAAATTCTTCTTTGTTTACTAATTTTGTTTTGTTGCATATAAAACTCAAGTGTTCTTCTCCAACACCCACCTACCCAATTGATTTATAATAGTTCATGATTTATGGCTTCATTTTCTGGGCCATCCCCTCTCTCTTTCTCTCTAAAATATTTTTGCTTACAAAGTCGAGCAACTTAGGAATATGAAAAAAAAAATTTGCCAAGTACTAAAATTCAAACCTCAAATTTTTAAAAATAATTATATAAATAATTGAATTAAGTTTCGAGTTCTCGTTTTCTCTAAAGTGTTTCCTTTAATATTTCTATCTCATCTTACATAATATAATATTATATATTCAAAATAATTAGGTTATTCAGTCAATTGGCTTGACTATGCTTGACAAAGATATATATGATACAAAAATTCATTATAAAAACACAGAAAATAACATGTTAATCAAATTACTTCTAGCTATAGTTAATTATTCCATGTCTTTTGTCATTTGTTACTTGTTAAATATAAAAAGTCAAGTATCATCTTCTAATCATCAAAACTTTTAGCAAATAATCGATCACTCAACTTAACACGTTATTAATTTTATATGAGTTAAAAAAAAAAGTAAAAAAACTTTTGACAAAAGTAATATTCAAAAGCTTTATCAAGCTTTTGAGCTTGACAAAAAAAAAAAAAAAAAAAGAGGTTCGAGGCAAGATTTTGTGTCTTTGTACAATGTAATTGAAGGGTCTTTGTCAATCTTTAACTCATAATTATCGTATAAACATTAGTTCTTGCTAATAATCCCTGCATATGTAATTGCAGCTGCTTCAAATTGGCCATGCAGACAAGTCCTGTCAGCCTTCATCCATGCATGCATGTCTATATATTTTATCAGTTACGTACATTAGAAAGCCAGAGGGAAACAGAAAGCATTGATTAAACTGTGAATACGTAAGTAATTAAGATAAGAGCTATTGGAACTTTAGCATGGAAATAGGAAAGCTTTAGGAAAGTAACTGAACAAAAAAAAAAAAAAAACTATTTTTCTCTCATATGTATGTATATATATATATATATATATATATATATATATATATATAAACCTGAGATTTTGTCTCTAAAGTACAATACTACTTGCACTTTCATGCAATGGAGAATCAACTGGCTTTCAAAACTACTATGATAAGATATATGGATTTAAACTTTCCATTAACCAACTAATAATTTTGATAAAAAAAAAATTAAATTAACAAATCCACACGAATTAGTCGGGTTTATGAAAAGATGAAGCTTAGTTCGAAGTCAATTAGAATTCGATCATTGTGGGAAATACTTTACTAGTAAAATCTTAAATGCATTGGATTAATATAAAATCATGTATTTTTAAATAAAATATAAAAATACTCTATCGGATTATAAAAAAAATTTAACTGATAAAAGCATAGGAAAATAGATAACAGCTAGATGGAATTTGGTAGATATCAATTGAATTTCTCTACTATCATATATGCATATATAATATTTGTTTATTGATTTTACTTTTTTACTTTTAAAATAAAAACATTTAGATATAAAATTATAAAACAACATTTTTAAAGAATTAATTATTAAAACTTTGAATTTAGCCAAAGAAAAAAAAAAAACAATGCTAACAAGCAGCCCATACAGAAAATGACTATTGAGAAACGTGGCAGACAGTTTCTCTCAAATTAATTATAAATTTAATAAATCGTAATTTTGTTATGTCCCTCTTTTTCTTTTTCTTTTTTCATCAAAAACTATTTTCTGGCTAACTATGACACATCATCAATCTATCATTATTCAACAATCATTAAAAGACCAATTTACCCCTACTTATCAACAAAATACATGGAATACCCTTTGGCAAACCTGCCACCTTGGGAAGTACCCCTAGGTGCACGTGAACATGAGAATTTTGTAGCATTGTCGGGTCCTTTTCGAGATGGATTCGATCAGCGCACCCGTGACGGGTGAGGCTATTTTCGTCACTTCACCGGCTCACGGCGGCTGCAAGGTCAGTGGCTGTTTTGTGGTTTCAGGTCAAATTTAGGGTATTTAGGGAATAAAATTGCTTTTGCAAAACTATCACCGGACAACGACAAGGCCTCAACTTTAAGGTCTCGTCCGCCACCAATGTTTTAAGTAAACTAATTCGTGGTGGCTCTTTAGCACATTGAAATGTCTATAGTACCCCCAATTTCCTTGAAATATTACTAATTTATTCGAAAATTTAAAAACAAAAATCATGAAGCCATTCATTAATTCATTTGGTGAATATAAAGTAAAATTTTTGTTTTTGAGTTCACACTTTACATACATATACATGTGCATTATGTGGGAGTTCAGTTTTTATACATTGTGTTATATGTATTTTTTTATTATTTTTTAGTAATTTAAATAAACTATAATTTAATGAGTTTTAGATAGGAGCGTTTAATCAATCAATTTGATTAATTTCGAACTGAATTATTCAAAATCAAATTAGTTAACTTATATTATTTTATTTTGGTTAACCGAATCTAATTTATTAATTTTAAAAATTAATCAACCGAATTTAATTTAATTAGTTTGATTAAATTTTTCGATTAACCAAATAATAAATATATATATAGTTAAATTATATTTTAAACTCTTAATTTCTTATATTTTAAATAAATTAAATAAAATTATTCAATAAAATATTTAAATATCAAAATATTATGTTAAAAATTATAACGACTTATAAAATAAAATGATCAATTTTATGTATTTTTATTTTATATTTTGGTTAATTCGGTTTTTGAACCGAATTAACCAAAAATCAAAATTTCTAAAATCATTTTCACTAACTAACCTAAATTAATTCGGTAATTAATCGATTAATCAAATTAAATCAATTTGATTTATTAATTCGATTAAAATCAAATTATGAACATCTTTAGCCCAAAATTATGGGATATAAGATTCAATTTATTATTATTATTAAATCAGTTACAATTAATGAGTAACATAGCTCAAATAATTGAATTTATTCCATTCTCTTCCTATTCAATTTTATTAACGAATTTCTTGCAAATCTCCAAAAAAAAAAAAATCCATTTACAAATTACAAGCACACATTAAGATAGAGTTAAAATGTTTTATTTTTTACAGTCTCACCACTAGAATTTAAGATTAAATCCCTTTGTAAAGAGCACTATATATGCAAATATTTGACATGGTAAACTAATGTAAAAGTAATTACTTCCTAAAAAGAAATTTGGGGGATAAGGGCAATTTATTAATACCAAAGAAACCTAGGGGCAATACAGTCTTGGAAATGAATATATACACTACAAGTAGGCATTATTATTATTTATATATAATATTATAAACAGACAAAGAAGACCTGGTTGGGTTCATATATATGTTCTTCCATTTTTTTAGCTTGCAAAGAACTCCATGTAGGAGAATTTCCTGGTTTTTGTCTTGCTCTAGCTCCAACAAAATCCCAAGTTTTCTTGTTTGTGTTTTGTTTTTGTTGTTTTATTAAAATAAACAAATAAATCTTCTGCTCTTGTGTGATGAGCACCAGGAACTAGGAATAAGAGAAGAAGGAAACAAGAGAGTGATTTGGAAGGAAGAGAAAAGAAAGACAAAAGTTGTTGGTTTTTTATTAAAAGATCTTTATTTTTATTTTTATTTTTATCTTTTTTCCTTTGTTCAATGTCAAATATCACAGGTGATAATGGAGGGAGCTTCTCTTCAGGCAACACTGCTGGAGAAGAAGTTCAACAACAACAAGAGCAAGTAAAAAACTTTCATGGCTCAAACTCTTTGCTTTCAACTAACAGCAGTGGCTCCACCACTCCACAAGATCAGCAGCCTCCATCAGCTAAGAAGAAAAGAAACCTTCCAGGAACTCCTGGTATGAAAAACTTTCAACTGCAATTCATCATCTCTAGTTTTTCTTTCTTTTTTTTCTGAAATCATCCCAAAGAAAATTGATTTTAAAGGTTTTATTCTGTTGAATTAAAAGGGTCATTGAAATAAAGAATTTCTGAAAAGTTTTTGCATATTATATATATATGCTTACTCCTTAGGGCATGAGTCACTAATTAATTACATCGTAATTCATTGTTTTCTTCACTCTTTCAAGTTTCAGGTTTCTCATTTGTTTCATCTTCTGGCTATTCTCAGAATATAAGCAAATGAATTTTACTATAGACAATTAAGCTTAGTTATCTTTGCTTTACATGCCGGATTTGGGAAGTTTTTGACATTTCATGCTTATGCCTGCGTATTTTTTGAATCAAAACAAAAAGGAAAACATTTCGGAGGCTGACTTAACTCAACAGGGCTGTCATGAAGAAGATTTTCTGAATTGTTTGAGTACTTTTCTGAGGAAGAACAGTTTTGGAGCCAAATCTGGGTCATAAAAATGGTGAATGATTGAAGTTTTTAAGTTGTTGAAGGGGTTTCAATTATTGGTTGGGTATCACAATCATTGCAGAGCAAACTGTTGGCTTGCCCTTCACTCCTTTTTCCTTTGTTTTGCTTTTAACTGTTTCAAGTAAAGGAATCACATATCCCTGCCAATGGAATATCTGTACTTTACTCTCTCTCTCCCTTTCCTTCCTTTCCCTTTTCTCTTCCTCTCTAATTTCTCTCTTTTCCCTCACCCTTTTTCACTTTTTTTTTTCGATCTACTGATTATAAATTACTTGAGTGTCTAACTGTCTATGTTCTTTCTGCAAATTACTATATATATATATATATATATATGTATGTATATATACAAGTATATAGTGAATGATCCATATGTCTTTTGCATGGGCTTTATGCGCAGATCCCAATGCAGAAGTGATTGCTCTATCACCAAAGACCCTTTTGGCCACAAACCGTTTTGTATGTGAAATTTGCAACAAAGGGTTCCAAAGGGACCAAAACCTTCAACTTCACCGGCGGGGCCATAATCTGCCATGGAAACTTAGGCAAAGAACAAGCAATGAAATCCGGAAAAGGGTTTATGTCTGCCCTGAACCTTCATGCGTGCACCATAACCCGGCTCGTGCTCTTGGCGATCTTACAGGGATCAAGAAGCATTTTTGTCGAAAACATGGAGAGAAAAAATGGAAATGCGATAAGTGCTCGAAGAAATATGCTGTGCAATCGGATTGGAAAGCTCATTCAAAGACATGTGGCACAAAGGAATACAAATGTGACTGTGGCACCATTTTCTCCAGGTTTATACGCATGAAAGAGTTTGTTTATTTACATTGAAATATGGTTTTTTTTTTTTTTTTTATACTTAGAGCTTATCAGGATTGAGCTCAAAATTGAATTCTGATAACTAAAACTAATAATTTGATTTTTTTACTAATAGATTACAGGCTCTTGATCGACTTCTTTGAAATATCATTAGTTAGTCTTAGAATATACTACAGACAGTCATATAAGAGTAGTTGATAGTGCATAAACAAAGCCTTGAATGGTGTATCTTTGATATCTACAAAAAGATGATTGGATCATTTAGATTGCTTCAGAATATATTATTTTGGTCGATGATATAGAAAGTTTAATTAATTTCCTTAATTCCCAGTTGCTTGCTTTGCTTAAAGTCTTTGTTGGACCACAGATTCTTACTGGAATTGTTTTTTTATTATAAAGTCTTAGTCCCTTTTTTATTTTAATTTGTTAAAGGCTTTTTAAATGTGATATTCTATTCATTTTAATAATCGTCATCACAAATCAATAATGTTGGCCAGTGTTCAATGCCTTAACCAAGGTTCTTGTGGTCCAAAACAATTGAATAATGAACCCTTTTTTCTCAATAATTGTTCTTTCTCTTAAGATTAAGTGATTAGCTAATCAGATTGGTTTTCATATTTTTTGCAGGAGAGACAGTTTTATCACCCACAGAGCTTTTTGTGACGCCCTAACTGAAGAAAACAACAAAGCAAGCCAAGGCCTTGTAGCCATTAACGTGGGATCAAACTTACAAGGCCAAGTTCCCGATCAGCTCATTCCTGCAATTCCTATCAACAACAGTCATGACACATCTGCCATGAATGTTTCTGATTCATTCAGCCATGACACCAAAAGCCCTATACAGCTCTTAAACATGGCAGGAAGTATGTTCTCCAACAATCCCGGAAACCTGTTTGGTGGAGCGAAAAGTCATGTTTCAAATTCTTCCTCCTCTTGCCTGCAACTGACCGCGAATTCGTCAACATTATTTGAAGGAAATGGACACCTTTACTCTGGCCTAGCCTCCATGTCTGCCACTGCATTGTTACAGAAAGCAGCTCAAATGGGAGCAACTGCTAGTACTGGTAGCCTGAACTCTCCCTTGATGGGGAAAAGTTTCACTACAAGCATGGCCCCACCATCGTTTGTTTCGATGCAAACGCAGAATAATAATCAATCACAAGTTCTAGGAGATGATTCTGAATTCACCAACCAGTTCATGCAGAAAAGCCAACAAGAAATACAGTCAGAGTTTTTCAATGCAAATGGAGGGGTTGATCAAAGTTCAGCTGTCAACAATATGGGGATGTTTTCGGGGGTTTTTGATCAAAACAGTGCATTGTTAAAGAGTGTAGAGAACGATCAGCGCGGTGCAAGTACAAATTCAGGGTTGAGTACGCCAAGAACTACTTGTTTATCAGGCTTCAGTGGGGATATGATGACTGTTGATTTCTTGGGGATTGGCGGATCAAGACCCAGGCCTCTACTTGAAAAACAGCACCTTCATCAACAACAGCAAGATTTAGATGAGTTTGGAGGAATTGACCAGGCAAGACTGCTAGGCTTAAGCCATTTTCAACAACATACAGCGTTGGAGAAACCAATGTGGAAAGTTTAAAATTAAAGCAGCTAGCTAGATCTCCAATAAAACTCCTTTCCCTATAACTTCTTTTATCACTTTTCCTTTTCCCTCTCTCTTATCCTTTAAGTATAATATTTTTGTAGCCATGGATTGAGCATGCCATTGAGCATTCTGGCTAAACTCACACGGCCTATCTTAAGAGTAATTCCATAATTGCCATGCATGATTTGCATTAATTTTTTCAGAGATTGGTCGAAAAGAAAAGAAAAGAAAACTTTTTTAGGTTGGCCTTTATAATCATTGCTCTATTTTTTCCTTACATGCACGAGGAAGCAAGGAGCAACTGCACAAATTTGGCCCGTATAATTCCCATCAAGCCCAAATTTAAAATGAAGAAAACACCCATCAAACCTAAAAGCAATCGGATCAAGAAAGGCCCAAAAAAAAAAACAGTGGCCTTTTGTAGATTTATGGCTCTGAGCGACTCATGACACCAAAGAAAATGATAGCCACAAAAACTGGATAAGCATTATCAAGATTGCTCGGTGCGCCGGTTGAAATAAAGCAAACCCATAATTTCATGCTTAATTGGCGTAAGAAACCAATCACATGTCATTTTCTGAAGTATTCATTCATAAACACTTTCTAACAGGTGCAAACTCAGACAAATATTTATGAAAACCAAGAGCATCTAAATTGGACTGTCAATAACAGAACTCTTTTAATCACGGTGCCTTGAACTTGTATATAGTAAGCAATAAGCTACAGTCTAATCCCATCAAAGCAGTGCAAAATGGCATTGCAGCAGTACCTTCATGCATGCAAATATGTCTCTCTAAACAAAATTTACATGACACAATCATCCAAGAATGGCCAGAAGGAGAGTTTCCAAGAGGTGGCAACAAGGAAAGGAAAGTCTCCGGCGGAGGAATTTGCACCGCTTGCCACAACATTCCAGCGGCGCCTACTTGTTGGTGTTGGTTCAGCTTCCCTAGTAGCTGTTGGAGCTAATTTTGTTGGCTTAACAAGTTTTCTTCTGGGGTTGGCACCAGAGAGTGGTAGAAATTTGAAGCTGGATGTACTTTATCCAATTGAAGGATATAGTCGTCGCATTGAAAATAATGAAGGATTTGGTTAGTAAGTTCTATAACCTGACTTCCTCCATAACTTCATTTTTTTCATAGGATTAACTTGGTTAGTAACTACAAATACTTTTATCTTTTATTTTCTATAAGATTTTTGAACTGCAGAGTTCATATACCCGGCAAGTTGGGTTGGAGATCAAAGGTTGCTATATAGAGCAGCTGAGAGATTGGAGAGATCACTTGATCCACTTCCCACCAACAATCTGAAATCTGGTAATCGTCCCCGGAAGAATGTGAACGAACCAATTGTTGCTTATGGTCCGCCTGGTTCAAGCGGGGAGCTCAATGTCAGTGTCATTGTGTCACCAGTTCCACTGGACTTCTCGTGAGTACTGTATCACTGTTCCTTTGAAATTAATATGACTTGAAGATGTAGCTAATGGCCTTAAAATGCTTTGCTTTTTGGTTTTTTTTTTTTAGAATTGAAACATTTGGAGGGCCAAAAGAGGTGGGAGAAGCTGTGGTCCGAACGGTTACAGGACAACGTCCGGAAGTGAAAGGAACTTTGATAGAATCAACCGTGAGAGAGGATCCTTCTAGGAATGTCAAGTACTATGAACTAGAATTCAGAGTTGAAAGCCCCTCATTCCAGCGGCATAACGTTGCAGTTTGTTGTGCTCGTGGGGGTAGGCTGTTCACTCTAAATGCACAAGCTGCAGAATCAGCATGGCCAGAGTTCAAATCAGCCTTTTATAGAATTGCTAATTCATTTAATCTTACCACTTGATTATGGAGTTTCCCTTTACCTTCTTCCAGGACCTGTGACAGCATGAGGAAATGCTAGGATCCAATCAGCCATTTTGATTTCTCCTAACAAATGTTATAGAGGTTCTGTAATATCAATGTCTTGGGCAATTGGCTGTATTAAATATAAACTGATATGCAAGCTGCAAATGTTTTCTAAAACATAGTCAAGAATCAGATGGCTTCAATCCTTAAGTACATAAAAATACATTTATACATTGAAATTCCATCAGGTACCCACAAGGGCAACGGAGAAACTATTTATTTTCAATATCTGAATTACAATTACTATACAGAAATTCAGGTACAAGTTATTTGTATTTGCTTGGTGAGCTTCTCCAGGTTCTCTGAAACTGCTGCGGTCAAATTAGGGTCCTCAAATCCAAGCTCAGCACCCAGTCTGCAATGGGAGAGGATTACAAAGAGTGGACTCAGCAGAAGAGAAAGCAACAGAAGGGAAAATGGAAAAGGTAATGGGCTGGAGAAGCATTTTTAGGGGGGGTTAAGCTCAACAATACCCTTGTATTTCCCCTTGCCCCCATACTTTTGCAAGACCAAATAACTTACTGAATATGCACTTATAGACAATGGTCAAATGGGAGAGGTCATTCTTGTTTCTCAGTCTCCAATAAGATCTAATTGAAATGCTATCATAAAAAGAAAGACAAAATTAAGGCTAAATTTACTTACTTCGGATCAAGCACCAATTTCTGGACCTCTTTAATAGCTGAACTCGCTGCATATAATGAGATCTTTCCCACCTGCTTGAACATGATGGTAAAGTTAGTAAACTCACTGGGAGATACAGGTCTCACATACATGAGTAAACTCACTGGGACATACAGGTCTCACATACATGACTTGTATGATTTAAAGAGACTCTAGGAACTTGACAAGCACAAGGAAAAGAAAGCACTGAATACTTCTTGGGAGAATTTATTAGCCTGACCTCCAAAATTTGAAGTTTTCCGTCATGATCATTTGGAAGACAGCGGATATCTTCAGCCAATCTTACAGCCTCCCCCACACTTTCTGGAAATAAGAAGTCAAGTCCTAACTGAACGGTGGACTGAAAATTCAATAGAAAGGAAAACAGTTAAATTCAGAAAACCTTCTATATAAGCAAAATAAACTTCTACATGTGATATCATAAACTTAAATACACAAAAATTGAGTTTATCAAGTTTCCCCAATCAAGCCTACTAATTCAGAAAGGTACAGACGCATTTACAACAAAATCTGAATGCATTTTTTCGGTTTACATTCTGAAATCATGTGACCATTCTTTTATACTAGACCAGGCCAGAATTGTCTCTCTCTCAGAGGAATTTTAAACTCAAGGATTAGTTTCCATACTTACGAACATCATTTTATCCAACAAGGTAAAAGATTATTATATTAGACATAAACGAGAACATCAAGCATCACCTTCTCCACAGGATTTACAATAAAATCACAGAACTTATCTAAACATGGAAGGTTATCGATCAGAGACAACCACCTGGAGATTCCTCACTTGGAAAGGGCACCCAGCAGGAACAAAGACAGCTTGCCCCAAATGCTGTTCAAATGACCATGGCACCACTCCTGAAACAGAAAAGGAACAACAGTTAACACTTAACCATCTACCATATTAATGATTCGATACTATCGATAGAGAATATTGAAATTTTCGCAGGATTAAAAGTTAAAAGAAGATTTTCCAGGAAAACTTATTTTGATGCAGATTCCAATTTCATCTACTAGAAAATTGGTTTCTAAACATTTTATAGTAGGTTGTTATCTTATCCAGCTTCTAGTCAGCAAACATGAGGGTTTCCTTATTTTTTCTGGATGACTTGGTTGGCTTACAGAACTTTTCATAATCACAGCCACATTTTTCATTCAATTAGGAATTGGACAAAGTGGATACTACTCTGCAAATCTGCAATACTTCATCCATGTGCTGCAAAAGAATAGTGGAACAAACTCCAAGACACACACAATCTGGAATTGATGTCAATTATCCTTACCAAATTCTTGTCTTAGTTTTTGCTTATGATGCTCATTCAGGTACACCACTTCATCGTACAGAGGACATGTCACCTAAAAATAAAAATAGAGAATCATCAACCTATGCTTTTACAGGATGAGTTAAAAAATAGTTTCTACAAGCATAAACTTACAGAATCACTTATTTCACTTTCAGGCTTCCCAAAATCCTTCCAATGCATTTGCAAATACTCAATTAACTTTGGAACATCCTGTCGACGAAAGACATCCCAACAAGCTCCTGCATGAGGTTTTCCTGGCACATCCCTTCTATCCCCATTTAACTGTTCAAAATCCACAGATTTCTCTGCAATCATGGTAGCTTCAGCTTCTTGATCCTCTATTTTCTCATCCTCATGTACAGCAGATGTGCTCTCGTATTCATCATTCGTATCAGGTCCATCAAGTGATAAATCAGGCAACCCTTTCTCATCTGACCCTGTTTCAGGATCCCCCGTGGATTCATTTACCTCAGATTCCCAAATGGATTTTTGTATATCCTCCATTTTTGTCCTCTGACCTTTTACCTTCACTTCACATGCATGCAACAACAAGTACACCTGACAAAAACCTCAACTTTCAATCACACACTTTACCAGAGAAGATACAGATTTAATTTAATCATTAAGAAAAAGCCTTGGAAGTTATCCACACTTTGTTCATGAGTCAATGGATAATTGAATTCATTGCCTCTTTGAGATTGAAAAGATCTGTGTTCATATTACAAACAACCATGTCTTAATCTTGCATGTATAACAAAGTAACAGACTAGAAATTGCAAAACATGATGCAAAGAATAAAACCTAAATCCTATTCAAGCATTAAATCCAGTATAGGACAGAGATTTAATCCTGTGATACACTTATAATACGAATAACATACACATAGAAGGCAGCACTTGCAAAGTGTCGTTAGATTAAAAAAGTAATCATCCATAAAGTAATATTGACCACAATAATTAATGAGAAAGGAATTTCATTTTTTTTTATTTATTTATGCACAAAAATTAGTCAAGGACGGAGTAAAAGCAACTTACCATGTCTCGCATTTTGAAATGGAGATTAGTTAGTGAATCCCCTCTACCAAGTTCTTCATAGGTCCCATAAGATATATAAATCTTAGGTCCTACATCATTTTGCAAGGAATAATGGGGCAATTTTGCAGCAACATTTAGCAGACCCAACCTGGAATGAATGTACTCAAGTAAAGGAAGTTTACTGATAAACTCAGGTCTCTGGTACATTAAAAACTCTTCAGAAGCACCGGGAGAAGGCCAATCTTTCAACTTCAACATTTCTGGCATGCCATTTTCATGTGCCCGTCCCTCTGTGTATCCTTTGATAAATTGACCGAGTTCAATATCAACCTGCATCATGTCAAACCAGACAAGCAGATATAAGAGCATGTAACACCTAACATCAATTAAATTGCAGAGAAATCAAGATCATAGACGTATGCAGTAGCATTGAGAGCATACCTCAGACCAGTCTAAGCAATCTATGGCCTTCACCATTCTGATCTCATCTTTTACTTTCTCATCCGCTGTCTCCTGAATTCCTCTCCATATAGCCAGTGGATCCCAGCTTGAAATGGATGAGCTGTCACATACCTCTTTAACAATCACAGGTTCACCCTTGCCCCAATGCTTTCTAAAATCTGCAATTCCTTCTACTTTAATATCTTGAGATGATGGGCAGTATAAAAGATTATCATCGCTATCTTCTCTGTCAGCAAATTGACAGAGTCTGGGATTATTAAATTCAATCTTTTCTGGCCCTTCAAAATCATAAACCTTACAGCCACCAACCATTTCCTCCACATTTTTTACCAGTTTTGCAACCCAATTCATCTTAAAGATACGATTTAGGTTCAACGAGTGATGACCACAACCACCATACTCCTTTGGAGGACATGGAATACTGCCATCACTGTTTGCTTTCCAGCCAGAGAACTTATCCAAGAAATTCAGTTTCAAATTGGATACTTGTCTCACAGAAGCTTCTTTGTCTTCAGTTATCTCAACAGTCTCATTTCCTACATCTTCAACACCACCAGAAGATGCTCTCCGGAGATCTTGACAGCAACGGAGGCACAGATCATACATGCAATTTGCACAATGTCGATGATAATCAATAATCGGAATCCTACAGAAATTACTGCAAAAAGACAGTTATTAACTACATGCCCTTAGAGCAACAGGAATGAGAATGTGTTAGCTGTATTTTTGCACATCTAGCTAGTAAACCTCACCAAAAGGACAGAAAATCAACCAATTTAACTAACCACACTAAGTGGAAATAATTTAAAATAGCTAGTAAATGTTGTTAGGTACCAGCACATCTGCTCATCTGCATTCACCTTTGCCCTAACAAGATCTATTTGAGTTCCTGAAAAGCATATGTAAAAAAACAATGGTAATATAATGGCATATATTCTCCACAAAACCTTCAGCTCGAACACCATTCAATTGACAAGCATCTTACCACGAAGTTTTTTTTCCAATTCCACTTCAGAACACTGTTCCTGATGGATCTTCTTAACAACTAGAAGCACTGAAGACAAAAGACAGTAGTGATACCGTAACTTGTCTAGGACAGGTATTTCCCGTATCCTTACCTGCATGCAGTGAAAGTTAATTATTCTTCAACTAAGTAGACAATTACTCAGTACAAAAGTAGTATCTATTATTTAGATATGCAAACCCTTTAAATTAGTGAAGAAAATACCTTTATCATGTTATCACTTCGTAAGCATGCCTTGCAATTACAGGAACCACGGCATGCAGGACAAGCCTTCTCAATTTCTTCCAAAGGGATGTTTGAGTACCTATAAGGGAAGCATCAGTACCTGCTCAAAAACAGAAATGTGGGCATGTTTACCTAAAAGTTCAACTCACCATGTAGCGATACAACTATCACAATATCCTCTCTTATCACATTTAAGGCACGAAGTAACTCTCTCTCTATCATTCCGGCGGCATTGATGACAAGTTTGCCCAACGAAAACTTCTTCAGAGGAGTCTTCAGAGTCATCCTGAAAACCAACATGTTACTACCTGCATCAGCAACATAAAATAGTGGGACAGACAAGAATAGAAAAAAATGCAGAGGATAATCATCAAAGCATGAACTTAACCCAGCCACGTCTTGGAGAAAAGAATCTTAACAATTTGCTTATTAATTAACTATATAAAAACTTTCAAACTCATCTTAACCATTATATGCTGCGAAACTAATAAGATAGTAAATTGTTCTCTCCACTTTTCTCTTACTGATACTAGTAATGCTATCAACAATAGGGCGAGCAGAATTTAATGCATAGGCACTCCATTACTAAAGTTGCATTAAGAGCAACATTATTCTCTAGGATGCCTCGCCCCATCCCCACTCTGCTTCAACCCTAGAATCTCAAGCACACAGGAAAAATACCATCCATAACAAGAAAAAACCAATACTAGTGTTACCAGATGCACCATGTACTTTGCAAGTTAACTCACCACCGCCATAGCAACATCATCATGGCTTCTCTGTGATGATCTGTTCCTGGATGAATCCGCAGCAGAAAAACATGGTGTCTTGTATGACCTCCAACTCTCTTCAAAAGGTGAGTCATCTCTTTGATAATCATCTTCAACCTTCGCAGAATTTCGTGCTGAGAGATTCCTCATAGGAGGTGTCTCAGGTGAATACTGAATTTGATTCTTAGAAACCTTCTCTTTATATTTCTTCCCAGAAACTGGACGAGGATAGTCTTTGACTTTCCTACTTACAAGTGGCACATCAAAGTCATCACTCTTAGTGTCCGCCCCATAGATCTCAGTTTCACCACCCAACTTCCTCTTTTTCTTAAGGCTAGCTCTTAGAGCAGAATTGGCAGCCCTCCTCTTCGCCTGGATATAATGTTTTTCACAAACTGTTTTGTCTGGCATAGACATGGCAGTACACCTCCACTGCTTACCATCCGACCTTTTGCAACGCAAATCATCAGGAATCCCAACATTGTCCTCACCATTCCCTGAGCCTGATCTTGGATGATCCATTGCACTCACTTTGCAATCAAACTCAATAGCAGTAAAGCATGCCCAAATTCAACCTAAAAACAGTCAAACAAAGTTTCTGAAAACGCCTACTAAACTGGTTTAAAGAAAACAAAAATCAATCACTACAAGCTATCAACAAGAAACAAACAAAACAAATTCAAACCCCTTATTGGAATTGGAACAAGAATTCAAAAGATTGGGATGAAGAATCAAAGAAAACCCATATTCTTAAACCCAGAAGTAACTTTAAAAAATGTAAAATAAAACAAAAATAAAAACCCAATAAATTGAGAAACAAAAAGAACAAGGAAAGAAAGAGCAGTGAAATACCTGAGAATTAGGGCTTTGATAGAGTAACAGGACAAGAAAAAGATATGAGAATGTAAAAAGGCCAGGGATACACTGTTGGGTCTCGCTGTTACTTGACTTCCCGTTTTTCGCTTCTACTTTGGCTTCTTTTTTTTTTTTTTTTTTTTGGGCTTTGCCTGGTTATTTCTTTTCAGACATCTTCCTGTGAAAGTTCACCGACTCGAACTAAAGCATAACTAAGCCAGTGTTAACTTCTGCCGTACCATAATCCCCAAACAGCTGTTACAAAATCATCCCCACACTGGATTTTTTTTTTTATTTAAAAAAATTAACGATATAAAATGTTTTTATTGTCAAAATAATTTTTTATGGTAAAGTGTAAAAAGAATGAAAATCACTCACTCTGCTTCATTTTTTCTCCTTTTTTTTTGGATGTTCTAAAATTATATATTTTTTAATATTTAAAATTTTTGGTTTTTATATTTTAATTTTTTTTTTACTTTTTGACATTTAAAATTATGAAACTTTAATTTTGTAAAAATTAAATTTTAATAGTAAATATATTACAATTAAATTTTTTTAATTTCATAAAAATCAATTCGTAACAAATATTTTGGAACAAAATAAGTATTTTTGTGGTATATAATATTAGTTTACTCATTTTATTTTAAAGAATGTTGATTTAGCATTTTAAATAATTTCTATGAAATTATCAACAATAATTAGGTGGGCAAACAAAATGTATTTTCTCTATGTTATGCATCTTTAAATTTTGTTGTTATAATTGAAAATTTATCCAATATATTATCAGTTCAGTTCAAAAATTTATTGTTATAAAATATTAATTTTATTTATAATTATAAATATATTTTTAATTCAAAATCAAAATCTTGCTCTTGCATATTTCATTAATTTAATAATGCATAATGAATGTTTTAGATTATAAAATTTAATATTTCACATTTTAGGTTTGAAAATAAAAATATTACAATTAAGTAGAAGTATTAAATGAGTTATAATAAGTTGATATGATACGATTTATTAAAAAATTAATTTATATGTTAACAGATCATGTCGATTTAGCATTATTATTTAACATGTCATGCCAACTTTACTCATAAAAACTAAAAAATATGACCCCATAATCCTTAATAGTCATGTCATATCTAGCATTATGTTATTTTTCATGACATGTTGGGCAAACATGATTTATTAATAGTTTATTAAACTTTTATCTTTTTTCAAGAAATTTTCTTCTTTGTTTTAATTATTTTTTAAAATTAATATGTGAAGCATAGATAAAATATTTATACATACTAGTAAAAGTTAAAAAATTCACCAAAATAATATGTGAGAATTAATACATATTAATATTACATCTTTAAATTAAAAAAATGAATATCACATTATTAGTTTATTTCTTATTTTCATGATGATTCATTTATATCATGTATTTTATTTTATTTTTTATTTTCATACCTAATACATTTCATAGTTTTTTTTTTAAATGATAAATCAAAATAAAAAATTTGTAATTTTATATGCCAATAATTTAAATATTTTATAAGTAAATTTATTAATATAATTTAATTTCTATAAACAATTAACATAAAGTACCAAAAAGAAAAAAAAGTCCATGACAAAAGTAACATAAAATATAACTAAAAACCAACATACTATACTTATTTATAATATTTACGTGTTAACACAACACGACATATTAATATTTGTTTATCATACTTTGTCAACTCAATAGATTTAAAATTTATAGTCTAACATGATATAATATATAAATCATATTTAACATGACTTGTGATTATAATACTAAATTATGTCAAATATGGCCTATACCATACCAAATTATGTGGTATTATGAACTACCTAGCCCATTTGAACCTTAGCAATTTGAGTATCTTCATGAAAAACATTACAATTGATTCACTTGAATATTCAAGTCCTCACCTTTGAAAGAATGGTAAAAGGATTCATGAATTTTTTAAAGTATCTCTTGGTGTAACATATAGTGGAAGTCTATATATAGCTTTTATGTTCCTACAACTCAGAAAAATCCATTTGTTTCAAAAAAAAAAAAAAATGCACCCTAATGCCGACATTATCCAAAACCTAATTGTAAGAACAGAAAACTTTAGGAACTTTTCGCAATTAACAAAATCCTCAAAAGCGCAATTACATTAGTCTTTGAATTTCAATTAGACACGTTGACAATATATTGAGCGTTTACTTTTTCCCCTTTTATTTTTTTTTCCTTTTACGATTTCCCCTATTCCCATTTTTTTTTTTTTATGATAATACTCAAGAGAAAGATCCGAACTTCCAAACCCAACAAGTCAATAGCCAAAAACCTCCTTTAAAACTACCTTCGATTTTTTTTTTAAACACATTTCGTCACTCAAAAAAAAAAATCTTTACTCTTAAACTTCACAAAAATCTGATACGTATATAAATCTCAGATCAAATCCATAACTGCGAGCCAACAGTAAAAGAGAAAATGGCGACTATGGCGAGGGCAAGCTCTGGCCTCGCGTACCCGGAACGGTTCTTCGCGGCGGCATCTTACGCTGGCTTCGACGGATCCCTCAATTCCGACAACAAAGACATCGGCACCAGGTTCTCAAACGACGTCGCTTTGATCCTCTACGCCTTATACCAACAGGTAATTTCACCGTTGTCATTTCTCTCTTTCTACTTCGTTGGATCCAGCCTTATCCAATACGACACCGAGTTGTTTTTGCTAAGTTCCATTATGTGATGTCTATCTTATTTCAGCTAAGGATTTCGTGCATTAGATTGCTCTTGTATGTAATTTCTGTGTTAATTTTTTGGGGTTTTAAAGTGTAATTTAGTTGGATCTGGTTTCACACTCTGAATTTAAGACAATTCGAATGTTGATCTCTCAAATAATCGAATAAGTATTTGTTTGTTATTTGAAATTGGAAGCTCGGGATTCATATGGTTATTAACTTTCACATTATTATGTGATTTACAGGCTACTATAGGTCCGTGTAATGTTCCGAAACCGAGTTCATGGAGCCCTGTGGAACAAAGCAAATGGAAAAGGTCTGCAATTTGCTGCTGTGAATAATTTTACCTTTTTGGTGCTTCTTGTTGTTGTATGTAACGGGATTTGTGTTTACACTCGGCTATTTTAGTTTGGTATGATTATGCTTAGGGCAGTAGTGCTTCGATCTATTTACTTAAAAGTGTTGTTGGTGATATATGTGTTGATTCAGAGAGATATGAATGGATAGGTCACATACGTGTATTAGATGTTTTTTAGTTGCTTTAATATTTGGTGATGTTGCGGCACTGGTCTGCATAGTTTATATTGTTCAATTCTTGTGGAAAAAGAATGGAGAAGTACTTCTGTGTTAGTTCATATTATTTGATCTAGATTGGTCCAATTTTCTGTTTGCCATATATGCATGCTTTTTATGTATGTGCAATACAAGCATTTAGATAGTTGAAGGCAATTTATTTTATGTCAAATGAATGTTGTCTATATTTTTGTTCTTCTTCTTCTTCTTCCTCTTTGATAATTGTCCCTTTTTAAAACATTTTATTATTTATACAGCTGGCAGCAGCTAGGAAACATGGTTTCTACAGAAGCTATGCGTCTCTTTGTGAAAATATTGGAGGTATAGACCAGTAACATTTTCTGGATTTTTTTGTATGTATATGAATCATTTTAGTTTGATATAATTATTTTCTATTTTCTTCCTTGTTCTTTGACTTCTTGCTAAGGAGGAAGAACCAGGATGGTATTCAAGGGCATCTAACTCTGATTTGCAACCTGTTATAGATGTACAAATGAATGTGAGTAAGCTGTTGTTTTCACTGTTTTGGTTGTGTGATTGTACCATTTCCCTTGGTTTGTTATTTTCACCATTTCAAGGGCATGTAACCCTGTTTCAGAGCTTGTTCTCAACTTTTGAAGAAGTTCTACACCATAATTTTCAAATACTTAAATTTGATTGTTCATTTGGTGTACAAATAATTGTTCTTTTATCAGTTTGTACTTAAATTTTGAAGGAGAGAAGCCTAGTTGCTTCATGGAGGTGCTTTTATTTGATAGGCTTGTTGTTTTCTATACTCACTTTTACCTTCTCAACTTGTTTGCATGTTCATAGCATAATTCAAATGTTGAGCCTATCATCGAGAATGGGAATTCTTTTTCTGAGACAAAGACCATTTCTTCTGAAAATGGAAGCCTGATGGAAACTAAGGACAAAGATATTGTATCAGAAGGTCTAGGTTTGGTTATCATATATGATCAATGGATTTCACCTCCAATAACTGGTCAACGTCCCAAAGCACGATATGAGGTAGTGGGATCTCTATCATTTAGATACTGGTCCTTTCTTCTTCTTCTCCTTACCTTGTTCCTCATCTAAAGAACGTTTATTCTTATTCTTCAGCATGGAGCAGCAGTTATTCAGGACAAGATGTATATATGTGGTGGAAACCACAATGGCCGTTACCTAAGTGACCTTCATGTAAGTAAATCATTTACCTCAACATGCAAAACACATGTTTTATTCCATGTAGTTATTTTTGTAATATCCTAATAATATTCAGTTTACTGTATGGTTTAGGACCTGAAATGAAATATTACTACATTGTAATTGTCAGTTTCCAGGCCCTTGCTGGAAAATTCTGATATAATTCTGTTATCTTGATAAGCATTGGATTCTTGTTTATATACACATGATAGCTTTCTCCCTAATTTGAGGATTGATACAGGTTCTAGATTTGAGAGGTTGGACATGGTCAAAGTTTGATGCTAAGGTTGGACCTAAGTCAATGGAATCGCCATCTTCAGTAAAAATAGCCCCATGTGCTGGTCATTCATTGGTTAGTAGAGAGCAGAGTTTCTTATTGTTTTCCTTTTACTTCTCAAAAGCTAAGTTTTTTAATGAAAACATGCACATTTCTTTAGAATCTGTTTGCTGACAATTTTTTTTATTGATGCTGATTGTCTTTCTGCAGTTATATGATTTAACTCAAGCTCTCTCTTTTTCTGTAACCCTTCCATTTTTTCCCCATAGATACCTTGGGAGAACAAGCTTCTTTCAATCGCTGGCCATACGAAGGATCCTTCTGAAACTATCCAGGGTACTTGTTTCTGCTCCTTATGACAATTTTCAAAAAGTTGAGGGTTTTATGTTCTTATCCTTCTTTCTCTTGATGACTTTTATTCTGTTGTTTTGTATTCTTGTGGCAGTGAAGGCATTTGATCTACAAACTGGTACATGGTCAATGTTAAAGACTAATGGCAAAGCACCGGTATTTATCTTTTCTTCCTCTTAACTGCCTCTCTTTCCCCTGTATCAACTCTAAAATTTCGGCAAACTAAATTTAGAAACTTTAGGGGGTTTCATGGTTTCTTTTGCTCTTTACAAAGAATTAGACCAACCTTTGATTTTTGAATCTCTAAAATAGTGGTCGCTGGTGAGATTGATCTTGCTTGCTCAATTGAATATGGTATTTAAGAAACTGAAACCAATGCATGGTAAGGTTGATTTCCAGGCAACATTTAGCTAAAGGTTTTTAAACATATTGGTATGTTTGAAAGGCTGGAGGTAAAACTTGTGAAAAAGGTGCTTATATACCATTGTTCCCCATTATATTCCCATTGTAGCTTCTGTATTTTTTCTGAAATTTGTTCCCAATATGTTTTGAGTTTTTCCCTAATTCAAGTGCCTTGCAGGTCTCTCGCGGAGGTCAATCTGTGACCCTAGTTGGAACAACCTTAGTGATATTTGGTGGACAAGATTCAAAGCGTACACTATTGAATGATCTACATATACTTGACCTAGAAACCTTGACATGGGATGAAATTGATGCTGTGTAAGATTATTTTTGGCAATTTTATTCCTGCACTATCCCTCCAAACATTTTATTGGGCGCCTGAATTCTTTTGTTAGAGATTAGAATGGTGTCATTTGAAACTTATATTCCTTGGTAACTCTTAATATTTATTTATCTTCAATGTCATGCAGGGGGGTACCTCCATCACCGAGGTCTGATCATGCTGCTGCGGTACATGCAGAGCGTTACCTTCTTATCTTTGGTGGTGGTTCGCATGCTACTTGCTTCAATGATTTGCATGTGCTTGATTTGCAAGCTGTAAGATAATTATTCTTTTTCGGGTTTTGAATGTGCTTGTGTGAGGAATTTGTATCTCCATCTTTTATGTATTTGGATTTGTAGATGGAATGGTCAAGACCCACACAACAAGGTGAGATACCAACTCCTAGGGCTGGTCATGCAGGTGTGACTGTTGGGGAGAACTGGTTTATTGTTGGCGGTGGAGACAATAAAAGCGGTAAATAAGAAAAAGCTTGGTGGAATATGTTGATTCTGTGCTAAAGGCTTACTTTTATTACTACTCCTTAATCTTTATGGTTTGTCCTGTTCTGTTCTTGCAGGTGCATCAGAAACTGTCGTCCTTAACATGTCCACCCTTGTTTGGTCAGTTGTGACATCAGTTCAAGGACGTGTTCCTCTTGCTAGTGAGGTATTTCACATTGTACAAATGCTTGTTACCTGTAAAATGCTATGAATGTGGCAAATCTCTATTTGGATTGCTTAATTATGTGTACTGGTTCTGTTGTGTCAGTAATGCTGCATTGTGTTCTGCAATAGGAATTTTAGTACCATATCAAGTCATGAAAGAAAGATTTTTTTCCTCTTAGTTGTATGTAGCATTCATGTGTTAACATTGAATGATTTATATAGTTGTAATCTATTCCACTATCAATGATTAAAGTTGTAAAATTACTATCTGATTGTCTCTTATTGTAGGGCTTGAGTCTGGTTGTGGGCTCCTTCAATGGTGAAGATATACTTGTATCTTTTGGAGGATATAATGGGCATTACAACAATGAGGTAGAAACAGTTTTAGCCTGTTTGTATGCGACTTTCTTGATCTATTTGTTTCATTTCGATCTTTTTTGTTTTGTTGCCAGGTTAATGTTCTTAAGCCAAGTCACAAGTCAACCTTACAATCAAAGATAATGGAGGCTTCTATTCCTGATAGTGTTTCTGCTGTGCATAACGCCACAAATCCTACCAGAGATTTGGAGTCTGAGTTTGAAGTTGGTCAAGAAGGAAAAATCCGAGAAATTGTTATGGATAATGTTGACTCAGAGCTCATGGTGTGTGATATTTTGATAGTGCATTCAACATTCAGTTCCATTAAGTTCATTGGAAATCTGCTGGTTGAAATCTTCTGATATAAAAGTACATGCATGCTCTATGCATGTTTTGAATTCTTCTGTATTTATGTCTTGAATGCTTCTGTTGCTTATAGCTGATATAGTGGATTTAGTATACTTTATAACATTCATATTAGCATCAGAAATTTGCTTTTGACATCTGCAGAACTCTTATGTGTATTGGCAATTTATTTCTTCTACTCAAGTTTTAGATTATGTACAGAAATCCAAAGGTGAGGAGACTAGTGAGCACATTATAGCAACACTCAAAGTGGAGAAGGAAGGACTGGAATCATCACTCAACAAGGAGAAGTTGCAGTCTCTCCGGCTAAAGCAAGAAGTAGCAGAAGCTGAGACTCGAAACACAGATTTGTACAAGGTAATTTCTTTATTTGTATAATGGCAGGTCATGTAGTTCTTTGACAGTTTCAGTTGTTTGTAATTTTAGAAACATTGGTGTCTATTAGCTTAGACATTTTCTCACTAAATTCTGTTTACCTCTTAGGAGCTCCAATCAGTACGCGGTCAACTTGCTGCCGAGCAGTCGAGATGTTTCAAATTAGAGGTATGTTCAAGTCAAGAGAAGGATGCAATTTTTTATAATGTACTTTTATCTGTTATCTCTGTATTGAAGGGGCATTCAAAGTCTGATTTACTTTAATACAACCATTCTCTGATGCTTTAAAATGAGAATTTAAAAGCAGCTAGGGTTCACAAATAAATCATGGTGCATACCGGGTGAATTTGAAACATTGCTCGACTTTGCTGTTAGTTTGAATTTATTTGGAAGATAGGGATATCATACTTTACTACTATTAAGATTTTGTTTATAAAATCGTTAGTCTGCCTCCAAAATACAGAACTCTATTTGCTGTAGGGCAAAAGCCTCTAATTGTCTTCTAATACTCTTCAATCAATAGGTTGAAGTTGCAGAACTGCGACAGAAGCTTCAGACAATGGAAACACTACAGAAAGAACTTGAACTTCTGCAGCGACAAAAGGCCGCATCTGAACAAGCTGCCTTAAATGCAAAGCAGAGGCAAGGCTCTGGTGGTGTATGGGGTTGGCTTGCAGGAAGCCCTCCACAAAATTCCGATGATGCCTGAAATTCGTGGAAAGCCTAATTAAATAGTGAGTGCTAGAAATTTTTTTCCCATTGATCAATTTTTATTTCAAATATTTTTTTGTTCAACTTAACATGGTTCTTTCTATGGTGGGAATAAGGTATACCTAGTTAGCGTAAATGACCTTGGGGGGTTTTTGCATGTCTTGATAGAATAGATCATAGTTTCATTTCATATAGTTTTTGCCAAAGTTTTATCAGAATTTGTGTATTCAAAGCATATGTTACTTGACTGAAAGTATAGGTTTCAATTGCTTGCCAGCAAATTTGAGAGGATGGTTTTATGTGATATTAAATTGATAAACATGATTTCTACGGTTCAAAAAGGCACCCCATATGGGGAAACTGTCATTGAATATAGAAGCAAATGGAGCTGAATCTGAGCTACCCATTTTCTATGCTCATGTTAACCATATTCGAGCTTTTTATTTTGAATGATGGAGTTGCAGAAGTACTAAGAACAGTGGAAAAACTGCCAAAAAGAAAAGTTAATAGACAACTCTGAAAGATGGAGAAGAACAAAGATGTTTTGGACAGGACTAATATTACAAGATTGAAGGCATTTGAAACGCAACAATGAAAGAGGACCCTTGGCTTAATACATATAACAGAGGAAATTCGGAAGTTTATATAACATAATTTTCTTGTCTTACATGGGAGTAGGGATGTCAATGAGTATAGTATGGGAGCAGTAGAGCATTTTTCATCTCCAATTTTATATTGTGCCTATATTTATATCTAATGAGTGTTTTAAATTTATTTTTATTTTTATTCTTGCGGGTATTTAATAGCTACGAAAATTTTTTATACTCGAACTTTTTTTAAAAAATAAAAATAAAAATTTATTTGTGAGTTTTTTTTTTATTTTTAATTTGTATATTTAGGTAATTTTTTATAAAATATATTAATATATTTTTTAATAAAATATATTAATTTTAATTAGTCTAAAATAATAATTTATATTATTTAATAAAAATTTTATTTATTAAATATACATGTAGAATACCAGACGAGTATTATTTTTTTTTTATTTTATTTTTAATAAAAATTTAAAAATATATTTATCCTTAGCTATTTCTTCACAATGCTTATTTTTTTTTATTCAAATAAAAATTTAAATTTTATATTGAGTAAGTGTAAAATTGACGCTCGTGGGTTTCATGGAGATCGTTAAAATTTTATAAACTTGGGCGCAATCTTCGTTTTATTGCCAAAATGGACATCAAAATGACTTATGATACAATGCAAATGCATGAGACATCGAGTTCTAAAGCACTTGGGTCTTTCAGTAAGTGGTCCCTTCTTTTTAATCTTTTTGGGTCGTTTTGATTATGGCTAATTTCAAGTCATGTGAATTCAAAATAAAAACACATTGTTGTTTTATTAAGAATTCTGGATCTCAATTAGTTTGTGTACATTTTTGGAAGTGAAACGTCAAACGTCATTGCCTACTTCCTTAATCCGTAAGGCTAAAAACATTGATTTATTATCTTCTTCTGGAAGCATTGCCACGAACTTTCCAAGCCACACGCCTCGTACGCGTCTCCCCACCACATCACGCCTCACAATACAAACGCTTCTGACCTCAAAACAACGCTCTCCTCCCTTCGAAATTCAATAATTTTAGTCAATATAAACCCAAAATAAAATATTATTTTCCTAAAAAAATCATTATTTTTCAAATAAAATGTTATCTACTAATTCTTTTAGTTCGGAACTTATTTTGAAGAAATCAATTTAATACACGCGGTGAATTTATTCTGCTTTCCACCTGAAATTCTTCCACTAGAATCCCCCTTTTGCGTCGGTTTCAATCCCACCGTTCCTTCCTAATTCTTTCCTTTTCAGCCTTCCATTCTCCATCAAACTTTCTCCATATATATAATCCTTTTCCCTTTAGTGTTTCATCTTCAATCCAAATCCAAATTGCAAATTTCCATTTCCCTGTAATTGTTATATTCTCAACCAAATTCTCAACCCCTTCATTAGAGCTTTTTTTTGTCTTTTTGATATAGAAGAAAACATGGAGTTTAGGCCTTTAGAGATCAATGTTAGATCTGCCAAAGACCTTAAGGATGTCAATCTTTTCACCAAGATGGACGTGTATGCCGTAGTTTCAATCAATGGTGATCATCGTACAACGCAGAAAACTCCTGTTGACAAGGATTGTGGCTGCAACCCCGAGTGGAATTACACCATGAAATTCACCATAGATGAAGCTGCTGTCCATCAGAACCACCTTAACCTCGTGTTCCGTTTGAAATCTGATCGTCAGCTTGGAGACAAAGATATTGGAACAGTCTACGTCCCCATCAAGGAACTGCTTGATCAAAACAATGGGAACGGGAAAATTGAACAGCACGTCAGCTACAACGTCAGGTTGCCTAATGGAAAGGCAAAAGGTATCCTGAATTTCTCATACAAGTTTGGAGAGAAGTTTAACAAGGCTGTTCCACAACCTCTAGTTCCAGGGCCTGAAGCCATGTACGTAGACAAACATGGGGAGAAGCCAGCTATGGCGTATCCACCACCACAAACTGGTTATCCAGGGGCAAGTTCAGGACACCCTCCTCCTCCAGTGGCATATCCACCTCCTCCCCATGGGATGGCAGGTTATCCATATCCTCCACCTGGTGGATATCCGCCATACGGGTACCAACAGGCTCCAGCTCCAGGTTATGCATATCCAGGGTATCCCCCTCAGGGTGGATACGGTTACCCTCCAGTGCAGAAACCGCAAAAGCCTAAGAAGAGTGGCATGGGAGCAGGGTTAGGATTGGGATTGGCTGGTGGATTGTTGGGTGGTATGTTGATTGGTGATATGGTTGGAGATGCGTATGAAGCTGGTGTTGAAGATGGGCTTGATTTTGATTTCTAATTGCCATTTCAATGTTTTCGTTCTTTTGTTTCTTTTTTTTTTTTTTTTGCTTTGTTTTGAGTTCTTCTTTAGGTTGTTGGGAATGTAAATGGGGATATTTGGGTTTGAGTTGATTAATAAAATCAATGCAACTTTTTTTGCAATGTTCTTGTATGCACTGAATTAGTTGCTTTGTATTTGGTAGACATTGAAATTATTCTTTCATGTATGGAATGATCACCTTTAATCCAAGACCTTTCTTTATAAAGAAGAATATCAAAAGACAACAATTAAAAGTATTCTTCCCTTGGTGCTCTGATAAAGATGTTATCTTTATCATTCACAAATGGTTTGAAGCATTTTATTATTCCCAATACTGATGCAAAAAAAGTGTTAAAAAACCAATACAAAAACACCAGTGCAAACATGGAGGGGCTTATTGTTACCCAATCAAGTTTCATTGTTCAATGTTTTCACTTGTTTTTTTTTTTTTTTTCTATATTTGCTATTCCTTTCAGGATAGCTGATGTTATCTTGAATTGTAGAATCTTAACATTTAGATTATATAAGAACAAAGGAACAGAAAAGGCTTACACTTCAACTATTTTTATCAAGAATTAGAGTGATTAGTCAAATGAGTACCAAAGGTAATTGATTTAACCCATTAACCTGATATATATGGGGATCTCTCTTACTCAATGACAATAAGCACAAATAATACCAATCGGTGAAAAAGCAATTTGCCAAAGTTTTTAATGCACTTGAAGCAACTTTATCAACAACAAGCCTTTTCCATCCGATCCAAGAACAAGAAGATATAAGTAATAGGCAACCAGCTTTTCATTTGTAAACATATCAATATTTGTCTATCACATATCTAGACTTTTCCATCAAGAAAAAACCAGTTCAAGTCAAGACAAAACAGCATCAAGATAAAACAACTAGTTATTCTTTCTTATGGGTAGTATAGTTAAGACTAAGAATGAAAGCTTACTTACTTCCATTTACATTGATATATACACCCTATGTATGTTCTTCGCAGAAATTTGTGATCTCAAGCTATAATCTTCATACAGACTTTGAAAATGTTTCTTCTTGCTTTAAGAAATTGTAATCTTCAAGTTGAATCATATGTCCACCATTCACTGGGTCAAACTTGCATCGACGGAAGCTGCATAGGGAAGATAACAAAACAAATGGATTTATCTTTGACTCTTCCAACCAATCAAGAAGTTTCATGGACTAAAGATAACCGAGTAAGCAGTAACATGTGAAAATCAAAATAACAATAACTTCGGGCAGGACATGAATATTCACATTGATGTGCCATAAGAATAATTTAACATGTAAAATCTGGACTTTTGTCATTATAAGTATGGGCAAATGACCATTAAAATATCATAGGCTGGGTAACAATCGATCTCATTAGCCCAACCTGCTGATGCAATGAATAAAATAAGCATCAATCAGACACACACAAACACAAAAGGATCCTAAACACCAGGTACTTTCAATTACCTTCCATCCATGCCAATAATCATGACTGTGTTCTTTTGTTGTTCAAAAGCTACAATGTAGCGTGAACCTTCAGGCAGCCGAAATTGAGCCACTGACCACTCTGAGCTGAAATATTTTGGCAATACACCTACAAAAATTACAAACCTTAAATGAGATTGACAGATAAAAACAGCAATCATCAGTCACATAACGTAAGAGCAGTTCAGGAATAATAGGATTGTATGTCAAGCAGTCCCTTCACGTAGGCCTGATCTATGCTTCACAAAATTTAGTAATCCATAAAGAAAAACTTCGAAACCCTATAAAAGTCCAAAAGGTTGAAATTCTTCTAGTTTCTGCACAATCCCTAGTTCCAAGTTCTTAGAACAAACAACTAATAAAACAAAAAGGTGAAGTAAGAAGCAAAGAGATGGTACCTTTCAAAATAGAAAAGGATGATAAAGCTAATTGATTAGAAAGAGGTGATTCAGATGCATTGCTTGACCTATCATTCTCCAAAACTACTGAATCAACCTTGAGGCTGAAGACATGGACAGTTCCTTTGTCACTTGAGACAGCTAGCCACTGGGCAGTGGAAGAGAAAGCAAGGCTATATATCTCTGCTCGGTCTGCCCCTCTCCTTACCTGCACCAAGATTTGAACTTAATTTACAGATTGCTTAAAAACACTAGCCACCAGAAATTACTCCTAATAAAATCATAAATAACTAGCAGGCAGGAAAAATAAAGAACAAACAAGACTTGCCTAAATAATTCTCAAAAAGAAATCAAGATCATCAAAACAACAAGCCATCCAAGAAGAAGACTATATGACATACTGTTACTGATATTGTGGCATCAGAAAGAGCTCCTAGGTAGTAGTTTAGCCAAGCCTACAGATCTTGAAGCATAACCTGAAACTCAATAATTCTTCTTTTGCAACTGATAATAGAACCCCCACACCCCACCCTTCAGTAACAAACTACTCTCGCATTCATTCTTATTTCTCTTATTCGGTCATGCAATCATTCAGTTGCAAAGCCTGATTCGACGGTGAGTTGACATCAAATAATATTTTCAAAACTCTACATCAAACTCCATTAATCCTTACATTGGAACCAACCTTTTATTTTGACTTAAATAACATCAAATTTCATATACTCGTACACCCAATACACCCAAAAGAACATACTTTAAAGAAAAAGAAACAAAGAAGCTAACTAACTTAACCGATAAACTTCATGGATAACAATCATAGAAATACAGAAGTAATTATCATTGTTTCGTACCTCTTGAATCAATGCCCCATCCAAAGCAGTAAAGACTCGAATCAAAGTTCCCTTACTACTAGCCGTAGCCAAGATCCTTCCATCATGAGTCAAAGCCAAGCACGTGATATTCGAACTATGGGCATTTATGAATTTACTCCTTTTACTCCCATAATTCTCTAGAATCTCTACTCTCACTGTTCCTTTTTGCAAACCAGGGCAAGCCAACACCATGGGACCCCACACCTGCGAAACCTCGCATAAGCCTTTTGGATTCGACGTCGTTTCCAGCTGGTGTAACAGCTTTAAATCCGAGAAGTTGTAGACGTAGATTTTGTGGAGGAGGGTGACGATGACTGCGTCGTGGCGGATGCGGATGGAGCGGATTGGGGAACGGAAGTTGAGCTCGCCGAAGCAGCGGAAGGCATGGTCGTCCCATAGGAGAGCTTTAGTGCTGGTGTTGGTGGAGAGGGAAGGGGAGCAGCCGACGAGAACAAAGACTTCGGAGCGGAAGAACATGGAGAGGAGTGAGAGACTGGCGTCGAAGTCGCGGCGGAATAGAAGGCCGTAAGGGTCGGTGTTGAAGACGAGGAAGCCACGATCCGTAGCGGCGGAAAAGCAGGTGTTGTCTTGGTTGAAGGAAAGCTGGTGGATGGTGGGTGGAATTTGGATTTGGGTTCGGGTTCGGGGTGGACCCGGGGATGAGTCCGGGTCGGAATGTGAAAGGGTTTGGTAGGAGGAAGACATGAGCAAAGGAAAGGTGAGGATTGGAAGAAGAGAAGAGCTTATCAGTAGCGTGAAAAAGGAAAGAACTTCACGTCTGAAGCTTCCATATGTTTACCTTCTATTTTATTCAAATTTTAGATTTTTTTTACTTTTTCTTCTTCGTCTTCGACTAATAATTTTAAAAAAAAATCAACTTTTCTGAATTGAAATACTCCATCAAAGAAAAGGGCAAATTTAGATTTGATGTCCTGTATTAAATTATTATACAAAGGGCAGTAACAACAAGCAACAAAATTTTTTAGATTATGGGCAATAATAATAATAAGTAACAAAAAAAATTTTATCTCAAAAAAATTCGGATTACAAATTTATTATCAACAAAAAATCATAAAAATTTGAAATTAAATATTTTACATTCAGATCCTAAACTTTAATAATTTACATCTACCCTTGTTGAAACAACAAAATTAAAATGCATTGAAATACTTTGGATATCAAAATATTCGTATGTACATGTGAATCAAATACTTTGTCCTGATCCATCGGCAGAGGAAAATTCTCATATCAAATGCCTAACAAATATTAAGAACAATAATGACCAAGAAGCTCCGTTACTATAAACAAAGGAAGTATTTCAAATTTCATAAGCAGATATGCTTATTATGCCCACTCTTCTTGAAATGCTCTATAATTTCAGTCATACAGAGCCTTTTGCAAAATCTCGTCTTCCTTGTCGTTTTATTCCTTACATGCCGATTGTTATATAGGAAGGACCTAAGCACAAAACATGCTGATGAACATGATTAAATATATAGGCCCAATTAGACAATGCTAAGCTACAATTCTACCACATCCATAAGCATGTACTCAGATCTTTTACAATAAACAAAATTAATGACATTGAGAATCACCCAAATTTACTATCTATAACTTTATATGAAATTTATCCGCCAGCATCTTTAGAAATGACAGGTAAACAATGTAAAAAAAATTAATTGGGGGGGGGGGGTGTAATTGTGAAAACAAAGCTTTTCCAGAAGCTTCCACAACTGCCTGAAGGGAAAAGCTTCTAGAAAATGTAGATAGGGGAGAAAGCAAGAAAGAAAGAAACTGATCGGAAACGGAGAATAATAATAGTCGGTTGAGAGAGGTGAGAGAGATGGAGAGATGATGAGTTACCCCGAGAATGGGATCTGCAGGAGCTTGAACAACGGCGGCAAACACTGAATCCATTGCCTTTGGAAGAGAGTCGAAGACCTTTTGTGGGTTTAGTAAAAGTTTGATGGAGATGAAGACCGACAGTGGGTTCCGACGTCGAACCAATCCTTCATCGATTTCGCAGCTTCTGACGAAAAATCTGTGAGTTGAAATTCCAGTGACGTTTTATTACTGACAATTTAGGTTCGATTAATTTATATTTTTCATTGGCTTTATTTTAAGCTGTGAGGATTACCATTATGAGGTTTTTCATGTTTGCATGTTAGGTATATTAAGAGCAAACTCTTCCAACTATAAAAGCAAAATGAATTTTTTGGGTTTTCTACAATAGTCTATCTGAGATTCAATTCTCATGGGTAATTTTCCCTTCCTCTTTTTTCTTTATTTGCATGTTTAGTAAACTCTTTTTATTTTGCTTTGCATGCAACTTGTTTTTATTTATTAATTTTCAAAAGTTTTTTGTATTTCTGATTTTCATACTTCATTTTGTACTCAATATTTTGTATAAAATTTGTTTATCTTGTTGGCAAAAATAAAATAAAATGTCGTATAAGTACATACTTGGCGTATTTGTATGATGCATATACCTTTTTCATCATCATAAAATATGTTAAAAGTCATTTTCTTGATTTTTTAAAAGCCATAATAATTTATGGCATTATCTTATGGCACTATCAGTTGTCATCTTTAATATTCTGCTTAAGTTTGAATGTAATATTTCAAGGCACATTTTTCTGTCTATCAGCTTAATGCATCTTCTACCATGCTCATTGTTGGATGTTGTGTTCATATGTAGGAATGGGAATCTCAGCACTATTCAGCACCTTTCCGAGCTCCTGAGTTGTGCCCAAGCCATACAGATATTGATGAGAGGACTGATATTTGGTCGTTGGGGTGCACTTTATATGCAATAATGTAAGAACTAATACTTATACATGCACTGATACAGTGTTTGCTTTCTTTAAATAAACTTTTTTTTGGTTTTACTTTCTGTCCTTTTATCATCATTCATCAAGTTCTTTTGTTAAACAATATAGTAAGCAAAGTGTCTGGGTAAGTCATGTGGCTGGAATCTCTTTATTGGTTTCCTTCTGGCTTAATCTAAGGAGTAGATTTTAAGTATTTGATATGAAAGTTCTATAATGCTAAAAACAGGGCTATTGTTTTTTCATGTAGTTGTCCATTGGTGTCCAAACCAAGGACTCCTCTTGCAATACCAAAAAAACACAATAACAACAATAAGAAAATTAGGTAAGAGGTGATAGTCACCTGCGTTTTAAGGGCAGCCCATCCAACCAGCTCTGGAGGAATAAAATGACACCAAGACAGGCCTCTAAATCACCGGTCAACTTGCATGCCTTGGGGTTGTAAAAATGTGAGAAAAACAGGCCAAGAGCTCTTATGGTCTCCATCAGGCATGCCTCCTGTCACCCTTTTCAACCTTAAAACCAATGCAATTAAGTGAAGCAACCTTCACATGCATAAGAACATTATGATTTAAAGGCTCAAATAAACGTTTTATTTTTCTATTGGAAATGAATCATTCCAATGTACTGTTTAAATCTTCCATGATTTCAACATCATTCCAATGTCCATTGGGAACTGGCTTAATTTGTTGTTGGTGGTGCTGATCTTTGGGCACTTTGCTTTTCTTAAATGTTGTGTGAATCTCAATCCTGTTGTCCTTTTGCAGTGTGGTATGTTAAACAAGATGAATTTTCTTCCACCAGGTTTACATTCCAAATATAGTTTAACTTTACAAGCATATTTTATTTGAAAGAGAGTATTGTTGTTTTTTTTAGGTGCCATAGGGTGAATAAAATTGACTCTGATGAGGCTGCAGTGACTTCATGCTACCTTGATTTGGCCTAGGCATCAACAATTCACTATTCAGCCAATACTTGGGAGTGCAAGGTATTTAAAAGTAATATACCAAAAGAAATCATATGAATTTTGACCTTTGCATGATTTATTGATAATTTACTTACGTTGTTATTCAGCAGTTTAAAGTGGCATACAAAATCACACACAGTGACCAGAAAGCATCTAATCCTGAAATGAGTAGTCATGGCTTACCTGAACTTTTATGTTAAAAAAAAAATACATGTTTGCTTTAGTCTTCTTTTACCAATCTTACTGTGGTTGAAACTGAAGCAAAACACTCTGATGTGATTGTTCTATGCACAAATTCATTACCGTTGTTTGCATCAAATTATTGTCATGCTTTTTCATGCTGATATAACTCTCTCTAAAAATAAGACGAGATTTAACAGCAGCCAAAGTCACCATTGAGTTGAACCAGCTCCATTGTATTATTTTTTAGCTTAGTTCAGTGTTCCTCTGTACTATTTGAAATCAAAACTTCAAACTTAAATCATGATTAGTGCAATCTTTAGTTGAAGATTGAATGGTGTTTTGCTTTCCATGCAATCTTTAGTTTGCACATATTGTTTCAATAACTCCTCAGGGTAAACCTCTCTTGATCGAGTTTGAGTCAATATTGAGCTCCATGGTGTCTTCCCCAATGGCATCCATTGCTGGAACTAATATCCCTGGTTCTAGCGATAATGTAATGATCAGAGAATTGATTAGAAGATTAGGAAACATGTAATTCTAGTGATATTTCACCTCAGCCTTCCATTAAACCAAATAACAACACTAACAGTGCCAACACTTCATGTTATAATACTCCATTGAATTCACGTTCAAAGCTCAATCTTTCAATGATGGATTCACAGATCAAAGGAAATTTGAATGGCCTAGGACAGCATTTTATCTTGAGTATTAATTTGTTTGTAATGTTAACCATTTATCTGGAACAGGGGTTCGATTCTTTCAAAACTGTCTTCAGTAATTCTGCATAAATGAATTACAAAACGACTTGTGATAGCTTTAATATGGTGGCGGTCCCCAATTCTTCGGCTTGCCAGCTCCTGACTTAAGGTTGAGAACCACTATTTCTACAATTATTTCTAAATATGCTACTTGGTTATGCATGTGATTGTTCTTCCACAGTTGAATTTTTATCCGATGGTGTTAATCAGATGTTCAGTGGTTATTATGATGTTGATATAGGTTAATGAATCTTTTACTAAATTCCATTGTTGTAATTCCTAGTTAAAATATTTCATGCACATGGATGGACACATCAAAAGCATAGATTAAACTACAAATTATAGCTTTCTGTCAAGGAAAAGACAAGACAGGATTGTTTGATATAAAATTTATTAGTGCCAATCAATTGTTCTTGTGTTATAAATTTGTACCTGCAATAGTGCATTTAATCAATCTTTTCTTAAAGTTGGTCTGAGTTTTGTTATGAAACTGTTTCCTTTCACTTTCAGAAAGTGCTATAACAACTGAGTGAAGTCACTTTTATTGGCATAATTATGTATTGAACATTAACTTAAATCCCATTTCCCAGCAGGCACGCCTTTGTAAGCTTCATCTCTCTAATTTAACCCAAGGAGGAAATTAAATGTCAAGTCAAAACCGACATTTTGAACATTCATCTCTCTAATTTAACCATTCCCTTGAATTACCGATTCTAGCAAATATTACCCAAAACATTCATGAATACCCAAATAAAGAAATCAACCGGAAGGATGGGAAACAAGAACATTTCCATAATTATCACTAAAAGTCATTTTCATGCGCTAAAAAGATAGTACAAAAAGGTAGAGATCCCCTAAACTCCTACAATAACATTAAAGGAAAGAGGAGTTAAATTATGTTTAAATGATCTTATTAGGCTAAGCTTTTTTGGGGGATTTGGGCTTTGATGCTTTTTCAGGATCAGATGACGAAGAAGAAGAAGAAGAGGTTTTCTTGGGTAATAAAACCGGGTTAATGTTCGGAAGAACTCCACCACTCGCAATTGTTACCCCTTGAAGAAGCTTCCCTAACTCTTCGTCGTTTCTCACGGCTAGTAGCACGTGCCTTGGGTTGATCCTGTTCTTTTTGTTGTCACGTGCCGCATTCCCAGCCAGTTCCAACACCTGACCAAAAGTAAATAAATAAATAAACCAAAGGAATAAATCCCAGAAACAGATTTTTAGGATCTAAACATTAATTTCTATCACAGAAAAATCAATTAAAAAAATATTTAATCAAAATACAGCAATAGAAATTTGATTTCTAATTTCGCTTTGCTTTTAACATTTTCTCGTTTCTCTAACAAAGATAATCTTCTAAAAGTAGATCAAAAGAAAATGAGGATCAGATACCTCAGCGGCAAGGTACTCAAGGACGGCGGCAAGATAGACGGGAGCGCCGCCTCCATAACGCTGTGCATAACGACCTTTCTTGAGGAACCGAGCAACACGACCCACGGGGAATTGCAGTCCCGCTTTTACCGACTTAGAAACCGCTTTCTTCCTGTCTCCTCTCCTGCCCCCCGCCGGCTTCGATGTCGGCTCCATAAAATCTTAAAACGACGATGCTTCCCTTTTTAGGCTTCCGGAGGGAAAAATATGACAAAAAAAAAAAGAAATAGTTGAAAATCTGAGAGATTTTTTATTTGATCTGAGGACAGTAGAGAGCTGTTTTTCCTTTGTTTGGATTTGATTTGAATTTGAAGGGAAAATGACAGAGGAGAGCGGGTTTTTTATAGCTGCAATATGCCACGTTGGCAATCCGTGCGTCTAGTTTTCGGCTAATAAGAGTCTGGATCCATGGTGTAGATCTGACGGGTAGATTTTGCGGGGGTTGGGCTTGTTCAGGTTCAATCTTACGGTCAGAGATTGTCCACAGTAACCATCCTTGCAATTGGGGTTTGGGCCAATCAGGAAATTGCTTGGGGCAAGAGCCAATAAATTTGTTTAATTAATATATTTAGGATAAGGTTGTTGAAATTGATTGGTAATATTAAATCTGTTTATGATCGGATTCATCGAAAAGATAGAAATACTGAAAATTTTATTGACAATGTTATGATCTTGTCTGATAACCTTTTAAAAGATCCGGTTGAAGTCCATTTCGTAGTTGTCAGGTTTAGAGCTCCAAAATTTTTTTAAAAAATATGAAAATATTGAAAAAAAAATTAAAAAATTAATATTTTTAAATATATTTTTAACGAATTAAATAAAAATTATATTGTATTAGTAAAATATAATTTAAAACTAACAAAATTCATGTTTAGAATCTGACTCGTATCAAACCAAGCTTGTAAATAAATCTAAAGTAAAAGAACATTAATTAGATGTATTTATTTATGAAGTAATGATCATGAAAACGTCATTGCTTTTTAATTTTGGATGACGTATATTTTGTTTTCCTAGAATTTGTTCCCGCGTATTAAGAACACGATAATCATAAAAGAAATAAAATTACATTATCAAAATTTTAAAAAAGAATGATTTCTAGGATGGATTTCAACAAATGACAACTCCAGCATTTGTAAGGGTTGTTTTGCATTAAGTTGGAGCTTTCAATAACGATTTTCCTGGCCTATCCAACACGAAAAGCATCAGCATCATCAGGGAACGACCTCAAAATCTGCAATTGCATCTTCCTCAACACAACGGCAAACTCCAAAGCCTCATTCATGGCAGCTCGAGCAGCAGCCAAGGCATCCTCAAGGTCCTGATTAACCATGTAATATGAACATATTTGGCTAAGAATACGATCATGCCTTTCTTGGAACCTTAAAGCTCTTTCCTCTGCATGTTCCAATGCCTGACTAATGATCCTTAGCCTCTCTTTCAAAACCTGTTGCCTTTGCCATCTCTTGAAACCTGGTAGAACGAAAAAGAATGAGGTAGAGAAGCCGATCACCGCAAAAATTATACGAACATAATCCATCAATAATTTCTGTTAGTTGGCAGAAGATAGCAAATGAGAAATGTTTATGTGAAGAATGGAGATTCCTTACTTTGATTGACAAGTTCTTGGTGGCTTTTGTGTTACTCTTCCATCCTCCATGGTTTGCTTCAATAATGGTCATGTAACTTTAACTTTTCATTGAGTTCTCTCAATACCCAAAAAGAAAAGATTAATATTACTTTTAACAGATACATTTTTACCAAAACAGGGAAACAATATATATAAATATATATATATATATATTCTAACTCATCATTTATATTTTGAGATTTTTGCAGATATTCTACCCCGAGAAGTACTAAAATCAGGTAAATGTTTTTTTGATTTCCTGATTCTAGGCTTCCGTGCTTTCCTGTTGGATGACAGTATCTTCCTTAAGCGCTGACAACGGATCTCAGGATTAGCCCAGCCCTTTCCCCAATCTGAGAAAGTGGAATAAGCTCTTGGTCTTCTCATTGAGAGAAGCATATCTGCTTCCGGGTAAACATGGAAAGCTTTATCACGTTCGGACTGGAGAAACTCCAGTCCCTTTTTTGTTGGTTCTGGGAATTTTATCTGAACATGAATCTGCAGAAGACAATGCAGTTAAACGACAAACCAGAGTGTTCAGGCAATATATTCATATCTAAAAATCCAGCTGATTCCACGCATATTAGAAAAGAAACAACAAAAGAAATGCATGTTTTTACTTTACAGAATCTAAGAACAGAAAGGAACAACTAGCAAAAGAAGCAACCAAAGACATTCTAAGCCACCTGTTCTGGACTAGAGTGGCTAAGTTGCCCAGGTATGTTGAAGGGATGAAACCTTGGTGAGTGGCAATAGGACATAATTATACTGTTAGGATTGCTTTCAAATTTTGTTTATGGACTGAAGTTGGAGAAGCTGTTTTTTAAGTGTGTACCTTATCATCCCCATCTCTGATATATCCTTTAACTTCCATGATCCGAGCTAGACCTCTCCACCATAGCAGATCAGTCGCTATGAATTTTTGAGACTGCATATGGCCATCATATGACAATCATCAAATAGCATGTGAGAATTCCTGTAACATATATTCAATATTGTTAAACCAGGTAGATACTTGAAAGAGAGATCACCTGCTCCCTTATTTTATCGACAAAAGTTCTGAGGTTAGGCTTCGCTAGGAAATTTTGTTGTTGAATATCATTACACAGAGAATCATCATAAGAACCGTCCATGAAACTGCTCTCATTCTGCAATTTGATATAAATATCATGAACAGAAGATTTGAGAAACTAAATCTGTTTGATCATAAGTGTATAATTTGTTCATTAGCTTCATGAGATCTTCAAGAATGTAACGAAATGTAAGAAATTAAATAAGAAAATGAAAACAATCACACACACTTACATAACGAGCAGCAATAATTTGCATCAAAATGTTTGCCTCCTCTTTCAAATCCTGCATCTTAGGAGGTCCATCAACACAAATGTCACACCTAAGTAAAAAGAATTTCAGTAGAAGAGTTAGAATAAAGGGGGAAAAGGAAAGAACAATCAAATAGCTAAATCTCAATGAGATCTTATTCTTGTCAACTGTGGAAAAACACAATTATGAAAAAAAAAAAAAAAAAAGATTATATTGCAATTACACCATACAGTGAACAACCTTGTCATTTGGCACAAAGAGGTTCTTCTTGCTTGAAATTTAAAAGATTACACACATACATTTATAAGCTAATTGTTATCTAGGTCAGAGTAGATTGATCTTTATAATTTGGTGGTTTCAAATATATAAATAAGTACCCATATTATGAGAACTATGATATGGAAATCCCAAAATAACATCACATATAACTACCATACAAAACCTTAAAATAAGCATTACATACAAGAGGCACTTCTCATCACCAAAATCCTCCCCAAAGTACTCAACAAGGGTTTTGGCTCGACAGGAAGAAGTATTCATGCCATATCTGCAAGGAAATAAAAAGTTCTGTAATAAATAGTCAAAAAAGAAAGGGAGCAAAACAAGCAAGAAAAATGTTTTTTATGCAAACCTGAAGAAATCGGATAACATTTTATATGCCCACTTTGCCTGATCTTGGCTTCTTTTACTAGGCAAAAGTGTTGGCACTCTTGATAAGTTTGCATATAAAACTGCTAGGACAAAGAGTTCAGATCATTCTAACATTAAAATGTTCCCAAAATCAAGGGTAAAACAGGTGATCAAAATACAAACTTCAGATAGTAGTAAAAGGCTAACATATTAGTAGTTCTCAATTAGAAAAAACACTAGGTAAGTTTTTGCTTTGACAATGACCATGACATATGTTCTAAAATAGTAAATAGGCTTACTGCAATCTGCTAATTTTCCATCCCTTCCTGCTCGACCAGCTTCTTGATAATATGCTTCCAAACTCTGCAATCAGAATCAAGCTTTAAAAAAAAGCTCAATTGATCAAAAAATGATAACTATATCCCACCAATTATGGGACAGAAACCTGTAAAACTATTAGGCATACAAGTTGCAAGTGAAAAGAAAATGTGAACCAGTAATATGCCACACAGCAAGACCTATCACCAAATGATGCAAGTCAACAATTGCACAAGTAAATCAAAACCAGAAGATAGACCTGTGGCCAACCATAATGTATGATTCTTCGAACATTTAACTTGTCAATCCCCATTCCAAAAGCCATAGTTGCAACAACAACCTGCATAAATAACTTGTCTGTTAGATGGCTGGATTAGATAAAAAACAGTAGTTCACCTATAAAATATCATTTGATCTCAATAGACAAAATAAGACTAAAGAAGAAAAAGGATGTAAAAGGTATAAACAGAGAAGAGAATTGCAGAACGCACAAAAGCAGATTCAGCATTAGTTATGTAATCAGCATTTTATAAGGAGAGAATGAAAACTAATCGTTGGATATGCAATCATATCTAGGCTACAGCCTAAAGGCAATAAATGGTTTTGACAACCAGATAGCTAACTGGATGAATGTTTGAGAGAAGTCTAATCTTGGGAAAAACGATTTAATTTTTGGAAAAGTGAACATCTTTTCAAAGATGGTTACAATAAAAATACAGAATTATACAGAAGTAATTCATTATCTTAGTGAATACTGACAACCCATACCTCTAGGGAGTTCTCATGAAATTCCTGGTGAACGCGCCTTAAATGTGATTTTGGCAACTGAGAAGAGAAGAGAGGGGAAACTCATAAAATAGTTTCTTATTAAACAAATATAAACTCTTATCATTAGCATGTAGAACCTAGCATGCAAGATTTTACCAGTGAGAACGCTAGTCAAATAACCAGAATGATATGCATGGGCAGAGTTTTAATGGAATGAACGTCAGAATGATTTGTTAACATGCACAATGAGAGGAAAACGACGAAGAAAGACAGAAAAACAAGATTTAAAACAGAAAGAAGCAATGACATATATGCTACCAACCAGGCAACCACAGTTCAAAAGCACACAATAATTAGTGCTTAATGACTGCAAAAAACTGAAATGTGATTTGCAAAGGAAGAATGAAACTAAGACATCATCAAATCACAGCTCAAATGTTCAAAGAATTAGGGCTTAATGTCTGCAAGGATATGATAAGCATCATTTTAGACCCAGATTAAATTTTGTATAAATATTTACCTTTGCATTGTAAGCAGCAGCCTTTACTCCAAACTTGCAAAGATACTTCACAATGCTCAGTGTTTCCTTTCTTGTAGGAACATATATGATGGTCGGTCCTTGTTCAAGAGGCTCTTGCAAAAGCCTCAGTCTTTCTTCTGGTTTATTTGGTGGTTCGATTGTCTCAAATGACCCATGTGAATCCCTTTCTTCAGAATAAGCTTGTCCACAAAATTCACCATAGGCAACTGAAAAATAAAAGCAATCAAAATATAGCAAAAAGCAGCAAAGCTGGAATCTTTTCATGTCTATAAGACAAGACAAGCAATGGCATACATGGAAGATCAAATTAAAGTATCAAAGGATAATACCATCCCAATCTTCCACGCTCTCAAAGACATCAATCTCATTTTCTAAATACTCTACTGACATTTGCTTTTCCCTTGAAGAAATTGGACCATTTTCCTTTGTTGAATTTTCATCATCACTTTTGTCAATGTCACTATCTTCAATGTCATTAAAGACACAAGCAGAAGAATGATCTGAATCCGATTGGCCATGGATTTCTTGTGAGATTAGAGTTTGTTTCGTTTCACCAATCTTTTTCTTTCTGGCGTAAACATCTATAAGTTGACAGAAATCCGTTCCATATGAAGACTCCAATGTTCTACTATGTTTTACCTGTAAAGAGCAGAGAACAAAATTTGAGATTCCCAGTAAAACACACAAGATTTCATGATAAGAGATAGTATAGAGAGAAATTCAATATGTTCATTGAAAAGGGAAATAAAATCAAATGAAAACAAATTGAAACCATTTAAGTTTCTTGATACATAAAAACCCCTCCAAGTGGAAGTTTGAAAGAAGCAAGTGGGAAGCAGAAGAGAAAAAAACTAAATATGACTGAAACACCAACACAAGTGAAAACTCACTGAGAATCGTAAATTTGGACGGAAAAATGAAGTGACCACAATCTTTGTCTCCTTTGACATGCACAAAGAATCAAGAATGTCTTGCCGAACCCGAACTGTGGCAGTAGCAGTCAATGCCATAATTGGGATGTCATACTTCAAGAATATTAAATTTCTGGCACTGAAATTCTCTCGCAACACAGACAATCGACTGAAACAGTGGAACATACGATACAAGAACTTATAAGGACGTAATAAAATGAAATTACAAATTACAAAGAGATGTGTGGCTACTGAAATGAGAAATAGCCAAATAAATACAGAAAAGGTAGTAGAGAAAAAAAAAATCAAACATTAACAAATTATGGAAACTTACAACAATTGACTTAGTATAAATGCAGTCAAAATTCACTATCTTGTGTAAAGCACACTTGTTTTAGCCATGAATAGTTATTTGGCTGACTCTTAACTGTTTTTAAGACACGGTTTAGTAAAATGCATGCTTTTCCGAAAATCAAATAAGCATCAATATTAAGTTGAATGAGTCAACAAAAAAATATAAACAGCCACACAAAACATAAGCAATACATACCCATAGTCAGGCCGAAAATCATGGCTCCACACAGATATACAATGTACTTCATCAATTGCAAACAATGTGATTCCACGACTTTCTGCCAGCCTCTGAAGAGGTTTTATTAGTCTGCACAAAAGTAATAGTACTTTCTCAATTACAACCAAAATAAAGAACAAATCATTTTCTTAGAGGGAAAACCAAGAGGCAATATATGCACCTACCTCAGAATTGTTTCTGGACAAACATATATAATATTATACATTCCTCTCATGGCTTTCTGCTCCACGCTGCTGTCCAGTTGTCCAGATCCAAGAAAACAAGCAGAGACCCCAAATTTTGATAATTTTAAGCATTGATCGTGCATCAAGCTTATCAAAGGAGAAACCACAACTACAACCTTTCCTGTTAATAATGCTGGAATCTGGAAACAAAGAGACTTTCCTGCAGAAGGTAAATAATTAGTACCTTCCAAGTTATGAGATAGCAAAGTGAATTTGCAAAAAACAAGACAAGCAAAAGAATATAAGTATTAACCAGATCCTGTTGCAGCAAGAACAAGACAGTCTTGGTGAGCAAGCCACGCAGCCAAGGCTTCCTTCTGGAAACCCTTCAAGGATGAAAAACCAAAATGCTTTCTTAATAAACTGTTAGCCTTCAGCTCCCAATTCAATCCAATATCCAGCTCCTCAGAGCAGCAAACTTGCAATGATTCTGGCACAGTTTCAAGTTGATTATTCATAAATGGAAATGGTTCCTTGTGTTCTTCCTCAGGACTAGGCAACACCTGGGATCTGGACACAACTGCATCAGATACATCATTACCCCTGATTCTTTTGGGTGTACTTGCAGATTGAAAATGATCCCATATGCTAGTCTGTCGCATTCGACCCATAGATTGCAACAACGACGTAGCTCTCTTACCCAGACTCTTCCCATCCCTTGAAGAACATTGAGAACTAATTGATGCACCGAGATTATTCCTACGACAACCTTTCAAAACATACTCAACCGCATCATCCACTGATGGTCCTACGGATTCTACAGCTTCTATGGCATCAGAATTCTCAAATCCCATTTCAATAAGCTTCTTAATAACTTGATCAGACGACAAATCATTTCCACCCATTTCATGAGAACTGTCAACCAAGGATCAAACAAAAACCTTCCTATGGTAAAGGATAATTCAAATGCATATAAAACAAAAGCCAGTTGACTCAGTTGAGTTCTATTAGAAAATGACACTAGAAATCTATTTCTTTCACCATTTTTTTCCTTTAAAATTTATTTTTTAAAATGATAATAAGTAATAACGATGATAGGGCAGGCAAAAGTAATTTATAGAGACATAGAAAGAAAATTTTTTAAAAAGAAAACAAAGCGATGCGAGCTTCGTCTCACTACACTAATGTCTAAATCGATATTTTATGAGTTTTCTTCATTTTCCTTTTCATTTTCTAGCAAAACAAACGAACCTCGAGGATCAAAATCAAGCACAGGAGTGAGGAGATTTAAAAGTTTAAAGAAAACGAGATTCCAATGAAATAAAAGCCAAACAAATTATTAAAATTTAAAATCGGACTGCAAATTAGGTAAAAAAAAACAAAAGTGCAGAATTCTGACCTATCTCGGAGGGCGGTTCAGCTTGAGATCCAAGAAAAATTGGGGGAATTTTTGGGCAATGAGGAAAGCTTTTTTTTTTTTTCTGAATTTTTTTCTCTGAATTAAAATTTTAATTGGCCGCGAAAAACTAATATTTGCTTTTGAAGAGCTCAAAGCGCCAAAATTGAACCTTGGGGCTCCAATTAAAAAGTATTGAGAGTGAGACCCTTGCAAATTACTTGATGAAACGACGTCGTAAAACCTAAGTTATTAGAAAATTTATTAAAATTATATGAAAATTTGTACTGATTATCAAAATTTTAACAAAAAATTATCAAAATTATATAAAATTTGTCAAAATTAAAATATATCAAATGTTATTAAAATATTATTACATAATTTTGACAAAATTATGTAAAAAATTATATAAAAGTTTTTCAAATAATTATTTCTTTCATCTTTGCCATTCTAAGGCTAAAATTAGGCACATCTAATGAAATTTTTAAATTCAAAAGTAATGAAAATAAAAGAGTTACATTATTTTAATGAAAAACATATTATTTATAATTTTTTTATTACAATCAATTAATTATACTATAATTATTGGTCGTTTATGCTTATGAAATAATTTAAAATTTAGTAATGGTGAATGAAATAATAATCTTTAATGCATGTATCAATACTTTTTTGAAGAAATTGGACTGATCAAGACAAACCTTAAACTTGAAGGAACAAACTTTTGCATGTATCACGCAAGAGTAAGAAAATGCTAAAAGAACACAAAAAGGAAAGACTTTTACATATTTTCATATACTTTGGAACATATTGCAAAAGGTTAATCAAAATTACAAGTAACAAAATAAAAGAAATGAATCTTAATCCTCTTTTTCTCAACAATTTTTTACAACTCATCAGTAGGTTCTTCCTCCTCTGCTGATCCAGCTGAGCTTCCACCACCACTCTTTTCATAGACTTGTTTTATGATTGGATTACACACTGCCTCCACTTCCTTCAGTTTCTCATCAAAATCTTCTTTCTCTCCATTTTGGTTATCATCTAACCATTCAAGAGCTTCTTTCAAGGTGTTCTCAATCTTCTCTTTGTCATCAGAATCAATCTTGTCTGCAAGTTTGTCCTTGTCATCTATGCTACTCCTCATGTTGTAGATGTATGTTTCTAGCTTGTTCCTGGAATCGATCTTTTCCCTCACTTTCCTGTCTTCTTCGGCGAATTCCTCAGCTTCTTTCACCATCCTTTCAATCTCTTCCTGACTGAGACGCCCCTTGTCGTTGGTGATGGTAATGGATTGTGATTTCTTTGCTGCTTTATCCTCTGCTTTCACATGGAGGATGCCATTGTCATCAACCTCAAAGGTGACTTCAATTTGAGGAACTCCCCTGAACGAACATTAACATTGGTCAATGTCTGGCTGGCACACTTTAAAACAAGGTAATAATCAGATTTGGATTACCAACTTACCTTGGAGCAGGTGGAATACCAGTTAGGTCAAATCTTCCAAGTTCACGACAATCTTTTGTTAGGCTTCTTTCTCCTTCATAAACCTATAATTTTGTAAATACATATAGTTTTAGTTTGCATTCGAAAAGCAAGATTTGATGTTTGAAGTTTAAAATAAACGTGCATTGATTGATTTACCTTGATGGAAACTGTGGTTTGCTGGTCTTGGTAAGTGGTGAAAACCTGAGATTTCTTAGTTGGGATAACAGTATTCCTGGGGATCAACTTAGTCATGACACCTCCAACTGTTTCAATGCCAAGGCTCAAAGGAGCAACATCTAGAAGAAGGAGGTCTGCAAAATCAAAACCGAAAATCTTGTCAATGATTCATAAACATTATGCTGCCAGGCCAATTAGTCCAATATCAATGAAAGTAGATCATTACCTTTGGTTTCTTCACCGCCTTCACCGCTAAGAATTCCACCCTGAACTGCAGCACCGTATGCTACAGCCTCATCCGGATTGATACCCTTGTTAGGCTCTTTGCCATCAAACAAGTCCTTCAACAATTGTTGAACCTTGGGGATTCGAGTGCTTCCTCCAACAAGAACAATTTCATTAATATCAGACTTCTTCAAATTTGCATCCTCCAAAGCCTTCTTCACTGGTCCTAATGTTTTCTTAAACAAGTCCATGTTCAACTCTTCAAACCTTGCCCTTGTCAATGGCTCAGAGAAATCAACACCATCAAACAATGACTCAATCTCAACTCTAACTTGATGTTGGCTACTCAAAGCTCTTTTTGCTCTCTCACATTCGCGACGAAGCTTCCCTAAAGCCTTGTTATCCTTGCTAATATCTTTGTTATATTTCTTCTTGATCAACTTGATGAAATAATCCATTACTCTATGATCAAAATCTTCTCCTCCCAAGTGGGTGTCCCCACTTGTAGCAAGAACTTCAAACACTCCATTATCGATAGTCAAAATGCTAACATCAAATGTTCCACCACCAAGATCATAAACCAAAATGTTCTTCTCTCCTCCTTTCTTGTCCAATCCATAGGCAATGGCAGCAGCTGTAGGCTCATTGATGATCCGAGCCACGTTTAGCCCGGCAATGGTGCCTGCATCCTTAGTAGCCTGCCTTTGCGCATCATTGAAATAAGCTACAAAATCACAAAAACAAAACTCATAAAACCATATTCTTGTAATTGATAGTTCCATAAAAAGACACTGAGAAAACAAGGAGATTTAATCATACCAGGAACTGTGATGACAGCATCTTTGATCTTCTTTCCCAAGTAAGCTTCAGCTGTTTCCTTCATTTTTGTCAAAACCATGGCACTGATTTCCTCAGGGCTAAAAACTTTAGTCTCACCTTTAACATGAACTTGAATATAAGGCTTCCCATCTTTATTCACCACCTTAAAAGGCAAGAACTTGATATCTCTTTGAACCTCTGGGTCATTGAATCTAACATAAAAACCAAACACCCCAAGTTCAATTCACCTCCAAAAAAAAAAAATCCAACAATTTAACTTTGTTTTTTTTACTTACTTTCTTCCAATGAGACGTTTAACATCAAAGATAGTGCGTTCTGCATTGATAGCAGCTTGATTCTTTGCGGCTTCTCCAATCAAACGCTCTGTATCAGTGAATGTAACCCATGATGGGGTGATTCTGTTCCCTTGATCGTTCGCTATAATCTCCACGTGCCCATTCTTATAAACTCCCACACAAGAATACGTAGTCCCGAGGTCAATTCCAATCACTGTTCCTAAATTCTGCTCATCTGCTGCTACTGCTATCTCCATGAAGAACTCTTCATAAAACAACAAAATATAGTTATGAAACAGAGTAAAACAGGGGAAAACAGAGCAAATCAATTGAAAAGTAAAAGAAAGCTTTTGTGATTACCTGAAATAAAGAGAAATAAAATCCAAAATGCCCTGTTTTTGTTCACCATTGTTGCTGTTGCTTCTTTGTTACGTCTGAAGTGGGAAAATCAAAATTTTTCTTTTTTTTTTTTTTTAACCTTGAAGGCTCTGGTTTTTGATTCAGTGAGATGTAAGAGTTGAAAGGGTGGGTTTATTTATACAGAGGAGAGGCGGCTCGGAGCTAGAGTGTTCGACGCAATGGCGGAAGGCCACGTCACCAAAATGATGTTTTTTCGGTTGGCAATTTCGGACTACTAACGTTACGGGGTCCGTGCTAGAGTGTTCGACGCAATGTCGGAAGGCCACGTCACCAAAATGATTCTTTTTGGGTTGGCAATTTCGGAATACTAATGTCATGGCCCAAGCGGCGCACCCATGCCAGGTTCCATCAGCAGAATCCGTCAAGAGGGCTCAGGCCCTGGGCTCATAACAGGCAGACAGAGCGCCCGCACAAGCTCCCTAGGCCATGGAAATCTTCTAGAAGGGTTTTAGGCCCGGATATGGGCAGATCAGACTCCAACAGACCCAAGTGCTGAATCTTTTAGAAGGATCTCAAAATTGACAGTGTCCTGCAGAATTTGAACTTTTCAATAATAATTTCATGTAATTTTCTTATAATAGAGTTAGAGTCTGTAATATTCATCGGATTGAGTTAATTCTGACCATTGATTCAGTTTCCAGATCCTTCAAATTTTTATTTTTATTATTTTGAATTTTAATAATAAAATACAGTTTAATCTTACCTGTTTTCAGGCACTTAATTTTAAAATTTAATAAAAAAATCTGCCCATATTATAATATGCAATTCAATGCTGAATTGCTAGTCTAAGTAATGAATTGTTATTGTAAAAACAGTTTATGCAATCAAATTGATCATTATACCAATAGATTGTTAACTCAATAATGCTAGAATCAGAGAATTAAAGATCTTCAGTTAAAATCGTAATCATAATATAAAAAATATATATATATATAAATATATATATCGATTCAATTCAACTGAACAAACTATTAACCCAACTACTTGGCAAGCAGCCTCAGCTGACAAATCAATCTGAACCTGAAAAAACTCTACAGAAAAAGTACAATTTTAAGTTACAACCCGATCAATGTTTGGGATTTTGGGACAGCAAAAATTTATTATCACACCAAGCAAAACATTCTAAATCTATCGAAATGGAGCCAGAGGGCTAGGACTACGTGGGACTTTCAAGTTTCTAAGCTCTTTACAAACATTATCTAACATTCCCAAAAAGTCTCTTACAATCACAAATATCCCAAGTGGATTAGCTTCATCTAGTTTGCTCACATCTCCATGGAAATATTCTGTGATTTCTTTGACATGTAATAGGACTCTATGTTCATCTTCTTGTAGCTCCTTTAGATTCTTCTCCGCATAGTTCAGGAAGGAATTCATTGAACGAATGAAATTCCCACTTTTTTCGTCTGTTGATAGCTCCTTACGGACTAGATGTTGCAGTTTAGCCTTGCCATCTGACAGGTTCGAGACAGAACTTGCAAGAACATCCAGGTCAAGTGTAGCTGTCTTCTTGACATGGTAGAGTTCAGTACTTAAACCAGAAACAAGGTCTAGTCCCATTCTTCTATAATCTTCTTCCTTTTCTTCAGCTGTTCTGCAGCTCTTGTTTCTCTGGTTGATCTTCCCCATAATGCTGTCAGACACTTTTATACCTTCGGAGCGAATAATCTCTTGGACAACAAAATGGAGCAACGTAGTCTTCCCATCGGTTCCTTTCACATCCGCAAGCTTAAGGAGGGCATCAAGCTTGAATGCTCTAGCCCCTCCTCTAATTGTTCCAACATTCATTCGGTTGCCTGTTTTGAGTACTGCTTCAAGTAACTTTAAGAAGAGCCTGCTTGATCTGAGTTCCTTGCAGGCTTCCTAGTAGAACAATGAAATGAAGGTATCAGTTGTTTGTACCGGAATCTGTATAGCTTTGTTACAAAACAGCTTATATGAATTGTAGCCTGATGCTTACCTCCAGCATTGAAAATGAGTTTTTAAGATGAATCACCTCATCCTCAAAAGTTTCTCGGAAAAGCATAGCTTCAGCACGTAAGAAGGCGAATGGAACGCTTAGAAGTACTTTAACAAACTTCTCAGCAGACCCCAATTCATTGATATCTCTTTTGTAGCTAGAAAGCTTAGCCTCTTCTTCCTTGGTGGGTACCATTTTCACTAATGCTTCTAGTTGTTGTAAAACCAAACCATTTCCTGCTTTTCACCAATTGAAGAAAGTTAAAAAGGAATTTTCTTCTTAATCATATTTATTTCGGAATTCATTTGTCAATGGTCGAACTAATTCCATTGAAGGGAGTTTTATGTTTAGCTTTAATCAAACAATGAATGAGTGAATCCAAGCCTGTGCTATACCTTTCATCAATGCATTGCATGCTTGCTCAGCTGTCACATTCAGTGCTTTTAAAAGAATGGTTATGTTCTGCAATCTCTTGGGCTCAAGTACATGCTGGCTTGGAGAAGGGGTTTTGCTTTTTGTTTCATCATTCTTCATTGAATTTTGTATGTTGTATCCGAAAAGTGACTCCATCATTTCCTCATCCAATCTGTTCCATATCAGATTTCTTAATTCTCAGGATCAAAAAGATGGGAATTTAGAGTACAAAAAAAGATGAGATAACTTACTCGAATGAGTTTGACCGCAGCTTATCCCATACCATAGAGCGATCTGGTGCAGCTCTGACTTTGTCCCAGTGAAGTGGCTTCAATTTTGCCAATGGAGCACCATCTTTGCCCAGTGGTGTGTATTGTGGAAGTTGGGCTGGTGGAGGTGGTGGACCTTTGACGGGGTTATTGTTTCCTTTCAGAAATAGAGGCGGACATGGTGGTGGAGGAATACCAGGTGGACTTGGCAAAGGTTTACAAGGTTTATGAGGTGAAAATGGGACGTCACATGGGTTTGCTTGGTTTTGGTTTGATCCCGAAGAGGCATCTGAATTCCTAGCAGGTGTTATATTAAGCAATGCAGAAGAAGTTGAAGATTTGAATCTTGCTCTAGTTGTTGCAGATGAAGAAGAATTTAAAGGAGAAATACGCAAAACTGGGGGCAGAGGAGGTGGAGGTGGAGGTTGTGGGGGTGAGGGTGAGGGTGAGGGTGTGAAATTCTTTTGACAATCAGGAGAATCCTGGCGGCTACATGGAGATTGAGGCTGTAAAGTTGTTGTGTTGTGTCCTGACATTGCTATGGACATGGATGGAGGTGCAAAAGAATGCTGAGGAGATGATGATATCTTTGTTTCATTTAGAGGAATTTCTGATCTATCACTAAGACTACCAGCTGAAGCATTGGAAATCCGAACATTTGATGAATTCGAATCAAGAAAAGAATGAAAAGATTCATCATCAGATGAATGACATTCAATAGGAATTATTTTATCAGAAGGTGAGCAGTTACCAACATCAGAATCATATCTTGCTGATTCTACATCCTCATGAACTGACATAATTTCCCTTGTTGAAGAACTGCTAGCATTGTCATATTCTTGTATAGCAATTTCTCTATTTGATTCCTCCCTCTTATCTAATGCATAATTTGGAGTGCTATGATTTGGTGATGTTTTCTCAGTTTCAGCTCTTTGTTTCAAAGAAGCTGGTTGCTGCTCTAAGTCCACTCCTAAGGAATTAAGATAAAAGAGATCTAAGCCAGGATTTAAGCTCACCTTGCTTGATGAATTTTGAGAACTTTTATACTTGGATTTGCCTCTAATTCTTCCTTTTTTGTTGTATCTGAAAATTGTTTTTGTTGATTTCTTCCTATTCTTTCTGATTTTGCCACAGAAACAGATGAGCCCAAGAAGACAAGCTAAAAAGGCAGCTCCTCCAGACACAAGGACTGGAACCAGGATTCTTTTAACTCTTCCTTTATCTGTGTTTTCATTGTGAATCTTGTCAGGTGGTGGCATGTTGCTTGATCGAGGTGGTGGATGATGGAAATGAGCCAGCATTGGCGATGATGGAGCAGGAGCAGGAGCAGGAGCTGGAACGAAAATCTCAGCTTCAACGCTTGGTGATGGAGAGGGAGATGGTGAGAAATATCCAGCAGCACCATTTAATGGAATTCTTCTTCTTTTGGTACTCTTCAGTCCAAGTAAGGCTCTAAACTTTTGCACAATCAAAGCTTCCTTTTGTTCATTCTCATCCTGTCCTGAAACTTTCTCAATTTTGTTCTGATTGCCCCCACTTTCCTCCATGAAATAAATCTGCTGTAGGCCACGAACTTCCAACTCCTCTGCTGCATCCATTAAAGCATCAGCAATCAAAATGTGGGAGCTGCCTAAAGATATAAACAGGAATATGATGAAAATCATGTGAAGAATCTGAGAACCATAACCCATGATTTTTTCAACTAGAAACAATCAAAGCACCAATCAAGCTTTCTGCTTATAAATCTACTTCTTTTTGTTGCATTGCATTCTCTCTTTCCTTTTTTTCTAGAAAAAAGAAACATTTATTTCGGTGATGCAGATGATGTGTAGTGAAAACCATCTAGTCCTGCACAGTCTTTAATGCTACTCCAAGGTACCCCTGAACCTGGCAGTTGTAGCTGTACTGAACCTTCTTTACTTCTGTCCCCTATTCATGTTCTCTTATCCCTTCTCACCTTCATAAATTCTCCAGCAAAACACTTTTAAATGTGTTGGACAATTTGCCTTACAGATATACCCCTCAAGGTTAATTTTCCAGTTTTATTTTGTCAAACTTTTCTGATATGCTTTCTATTAGAGAACGCTGACATATATTTCTGCCCTTTATTGCTTATGCACCTCATCATTTTCTACAGGATTTTAGATACCATCAGTGTTCAAAACTTAATCTATAAAATCTGAATCATGGTCTTTGCATTTAAACAAAGCTCTTTTTAAGTTCCTAAAGCTCAAACCTTACAAAAATGTCGGTGGGTCCTATTCTGTTGGACTTTGCCCAACTCTTGATAGCATAAGTTTCTCCAACCCCCATTATTAAAAAGAGAGAGAGAGAGAGAGAGAGAGAGCTTGAAAATTGGTCTATTCCTTTCTCATGTGGTAATGCATCCATTCCTCCATTATGCAATTAAAGCCATATCTAGGCCAAAGCTAGATCTTGAATGCTGCATTATGGGAAGCTGGTAGCCGTTTTTTTAGTACTAGTCTGTTTCTCAAGCTTTTTCATGGCTCCACTTGCAAGGTTGCTTGTTGATTGTCAATTTTTTTTTTTTTAATGTTCAAAACATGGTATCGTTAGTTTGGTAGAATTGATGTTGATTTTCAGTAATTATATTTGGTATTAGTCTGTATTGTCAATTCAACCAAGCAAGGCTCCGAATTTCATCCTGGCAAAGCAAATGATTGCAATTTGATAAATACTAGATCTTTTTTGTTAAAGATATATGTTCAAATTCAAAACTGTAACTAGAATCAGCTGAAAAATCTGATGTTGTTGATAAACATAGCTAGGATAGACAAGTTATTATCTTTTCTTTAAAATTCAAGGGATAAACTTGCATGAAATTTTATAAGTGAAATTCATGAATTTTTTTATTATAATTGAATAAATAAAAATTAAAATAAAAAATTAAAGTCAATAGATTTAAAAATCTCATAACATAAATTAAATGTATAAAATTTGAAAAAATTTGAAAAAATTTTGATATATTTATTAAATAGATATTTTTTATAAAAATATTGATAAAATTTTTATCATTGAATAAATACTAATCAATTTTTTTATTATAAATAATATTTTTAATTTTTTTTTACATATTATTGATATTCACATTGAATTCTATCAATTTATTGGATCAAATTTGTTATTAAATTTTTTTTATTTATTTCTAATAAAAAATTTTACGAATTACACCTATAAAATTTTATATAAATTGCATTCAAAGTTCAAATGTCAATATCTGTCCGTCTTGTAAGGAATTATTCTATAAATTAAACATTGCTGAAAAATTTATTATTAAAAATCTGTTTTAACAAACTAGTAATTTAGAATCTAAAAATTAGCTCAGTTGATTAAATTTTTAACACCTACAAACTTTCTTTTATTCTCAAATTACAACTCCTTTTATTAAAAAATATAGCGTTTCAAAAGCTCTTATCACTGATCAAAAAGAGTATATTGGACAATTGAATTAGGCCAAGAGCTTTCATTATTTGTGCTGAGACTGAGACTAGATTTTTAGTAATGGCTGGTTTTACATGCATTTTGTGACTGATTTGGTTCAGCATTTGAAGAACAATTTCACTAAAACTAAACAAAAAAAAAAAAAAAAAAACATCTGCTTGGTAATGTGCTGTCACATATCTCAGACCACATCTGAAACACAGTGGAGCCCATTGTCAACAAGAAGCTCCAAACAGGACCAAGCTTTAATACCTTCCAATTCTCTGATCAGTACTGCAATGGCAAGTTGGGGGATGTCCATTTTTGACATTAAGAAAACACCAAACATTATGGGATGTGTACAGCAAGAAAAAGAAGCTTACAGGAGCTAAGAAAAAAACAAATGGAGTCCTACAAAAGAATGATGTATCAGAAACTAAGTAACAAAACCCATAGAAGAGAAAGAATCCTATGCCTACATTGCTTCCAATTTCACTCAAGGTTGGTGCCAAATTTTTTACCTACAGTGGTCCTGAACAATGGAGTTGAAATGAAATAAAACTACTGAAGAATTATTATTGTTCAACTTCATTCAATTTTTGCTACTGTTTCATTTAAGTATCGTACATTATTAATGGCTATGAAATTGGTGCCCATCACCTTAATTAACTGTCCAATATCTAACATGTTATATTTGCTTTTATTATGGAATTTATTTAGCTAAATAAATTCCAATATTTGATTTTCTGCATCCATTTGTAAGTTTGTTCATTGGGGGTAATTGAATTAATAACTAAAAGAAATGAAAATGAAATAATAATATGGGCTTGATAGGCAATGGGCCCTTATGTTTGTTTTAGGAGAGGAATAAAATATAATAATATATGTGATTATGGACAGGATTAGCAATAATGGGCCTTGACTCAGGAGACATTGGATCAAAGCAGGTGCTTCATATATTTTTGAGTCATGGATTCAGCAATCTTGTACCAAGGTTTGGATCGACTAAGATAAAAAAATTTAAAAAAAAAATATCGAAAGTATAATATTAGTTTGATTCGATTTTTTTTATTAAGTTTGGATTAACTTTTAATATTAAATAAATATATATATTAGGTTTAAATTGAAATGTGAAAATTAAAAAAAAAGCCTTAAATCGAATTATATATTTTTTATTTTTTATAAAATAAAAATAGTTATTTTATATCAAATTTATATAAATATATTAAAAATCATATTCAAATAATATATAAAAAAATTTAATTTAAAAAACTATTAAACCAATAAAATTTGATTCAAATTGAATCGAATTGTATAAAAATTTAGTTCAAATTTATATCAAAATTTAAAATTGTACAATTTTATACATTATCCAAAAAAATTGATCCATTATCGGCCCTAGGGCCAATTGTTCCACAATCAATATCATGTAGATATGTTTTGCATTTTTGAAAATGCTTTTTAAACAAAAAATTGATTTCTTGCCTTAATTTGATGCAAATAAGTATAAAGCAATCTGTGCATATTCCATCATAATTGTAATTAGATAATTTTTTTTCACTTAAAAAAATTAATAATTGAAATTAAAAATTTACTATTCTACTAATAGATTATATAATTGTTGAAAATTATAATTAAATGATTACCATTTTTGTTATTTTTATAAGATTTAGAAGCTTCTTTTCTCATGGTTGACGCTATTGATTTCGTTTTTTCTTGTTTTATAAAAAAGAAAAAGCCATGGTTGTTAATTTAGAGCATGGTCTAAATTGAAGAATTTTTGAATAATCAATGGGGGGCAAGTAGGATTCAATTTTCAAGTGTTCTTCATCAAATCTTTATATATATCTAAGCTTAACTTTATGCATTTTCATGGTTTGACGAGGTTTAGATTATCTCCCATTCATCAGAAGTTCAATTCATTAATTCCAATGTTTCAACTATGTAACATATAGTAATTGATGAAATAAATGAAATTCATCAATGAATTTGTCAATAGAGATGTTTATAGATCAGATAGGGTTGAATTTAGATAGAATTCACATTTGATATTAATAATTTAATACATATTTCGATTCGATTCAATTCGATATTTAAAATCTTAAAAGTTTTAAAATTCGATTCAAATTATAAAAATAAATCTTATATTCGTAAATTAAATTAAATTTAATAATAAAAATTATTATAAATTATTAAAAAAATAAAATATAAAAATTTAAATTTAAATATATATATTTATATCATTATAATATTTTATTTGAGCTGAATCAAGTAAAGTTTGAGCTTTAATTATTATATCCAATACATCACTTAAAATTTAAATAAAGTATAAAATTTATGTCTAAATCTATTTAAAAATTTTTAATTTTTTATTTAAATTCTCTAAAAATTTGAATAAATCAAACTAAAATCATCTCAATCTTTATTAATATATGCATTTGTACAAAATTTGACTATAAAAAGAACAATTATTTTGGAAACAATGAAAAAAGAAGCAATATTTTCCATAAAGATAACGCGCATGGTCCATCCAATTTTGTACGACAGATTCAGCCAGGTTTTCACTTGTTTTGACAGCTTCTTCCCATTGTCAAAACTCAATCCAGGTTCAATTTGCCATCAAATTTGACTGGTTTTTGGTGAAATCTAGAGGCTAGCTATAGTACTAGTACTTGCACTTGGTTGAATTTTGGAAACAAGAAACAAACACATGATCATGACAGATCAACAAAGCCACCAATACAGGGTGACGTATATAAAACAAAACCTCATTAGCTGTCTCTATCTTTCGTTTTGACCTGTTTGTTGTTCTTTATTTCCATCGTATTTTTGTCCTAAAACAAACATCACATGCATTAATATGGTACCGTGTACTAGGTTACTTAGATGGGTGAATATGTATCCGGCTTTCAAGATTTTTACTTTGATCTCGCTTTGAAAATTCATAATTACTCTATCATAGAGACAAATGTTTGGTTGTTATTTAATTTTTTAATCGATAAAGATAGTTGATTAAATCAAGATTGTTGCTGACGAGTTGTTTAAAAAAGGTAAAAACCTTAAATCATTAGGTTCGATTAATGATAAATGTAAGAGATTTTTTTTATATTTGTATTTCGATAATCAAATTAATATTTAAAAAAATAAAAAATAAATATAAAAAATTTAATATAATACTTGAGATAAATTATTTATATTTAAATAATAAAAATATTTAATTTAAATAGTTCGAACTTCAAATGATAAAATTAAAATTGACGTGTCAATCGAA